AAAATGTTTTCCGTCCAGTGATGTATTTACGCTGGAAAAATTTCGCTTCACGTTTCGAGAAATTATCCTGGGGCACGTATCCGATAGTTTTTCAACAAAATTCACCTCCGAGACGTTTTATTACTGATAAAATGACTGGATACAAGTTTTGAGAAACTTACTACCTAATATGATCAGGGCTTGGCACGAGGTGGCTTTTGGAAAATGCAAAAAACGAAGTCCCTCTTGACTTTCCCAAAATTTTAGTTCCCATTGACCCCAAACCATAATCCTAAATTCTCCAGAAAACGAAACGTCAACCAAAAAAACTTCGCAAATATTGTGCGTTTTCGGCCACAAAAACGAAATCCCCTTTGCTTTTTTCCCAAAAACGATATCCTGCTTGCTTACCAAACCACCTGTGCCGAGCCCTGAATAATGATGTATTTTTCTGAGCAAATTGCCCTTCAAGTTAGCAAGAGATTATTCTACGGACCATTCCGATATCTTGGAGCTATATCAATTTCAAGACTTTCCAACAGTGATAAAATAATTGGAGGCAAATGTTATGTAAATTACCTCAGTTTAACACTCATTTTCGGGTAGCTTATCACTGATGAAACTCAAATTTTACCTAAACAACTAGTGAGGACTTCTACGGGGAATAAGTTAATAATGTTTGAGATTTTCTCTAGAATACTTATTGCATTTTGTTAATCGAAAAGAAACACTTGACATCGCAATGAATCGTCCACTTGGTTTGAATTGATTTCGGCGATTTTCGAGCTTTTCTTTTTCATTTGATAAAAAAAATTTTGTCAACCAGGTCATTATCGCATGCCATTTTATTATTCATCTTTTGATATTCATTGCATTTTACTTGATCTTTCCCTTCCGTTTTTTTCCTCCTCATTTCCTTCACATCTCTTTTGCTTTCCTCCGTCACCGTTGTTCCGCCACATATGGCTAATGGCACCCCGAAACAGTCGATCCGGCTTGTTCCTAAGCTCTGCGGGGTGCGCTTCTCCGGGGTTCGGGTAACGTGCATGATCCTCCTTAACTGCTAGCAACAAATCCCCCGCCACGTCTCGGTTCGGCTTGGCGCCCCGACCGGTTCCTCGTCGAACGCGTCTTCTGCCCGAATTTGTGTGCGTTTTCTCAGCGCTTTTTCACGTTCCTCACTGGGATTTGTTTGCGCGGGATCCGATGTTTCCCGAATACTTCTGGCGTTTAGCGTGAAAGCTAAGATTGTGGTGAAGTGATGGGTTGATTGAAATTACGAAAGCATCTTGCACTGTTGCGTAAGCTGTTTTTTCTGCATTCTACGCGAAAGTGTGAAAAAATCTCTCCAGGCTAATAAGGAAAGTGCACAGCTTGCAAGTTCATTTAGGCTTTTCTTGCCCAGAAGCTGTTCGAAAGCAGCGGACTGCGATTGGGATGGGACTCTAAGAAAAGCTAAGCCTTTACCCCGTACAGCCCCAACTTTTGAAAAAAAAAAGAATTACTCCTCGGAATTTCAATTGCGACTTTTTTATCGCAAAGAAACTGTCGCCAAGTCTTATTTTCTCGATTATAAGTCTCTCAAGACAACTTGTACATGACCGAGATGAGAGAGAATTTGATTTAATACGCAAAATCTCAGAAACAAGACGTCAAGCAAAAAGTGATTATAATCTAACAAATATTCTAAGAAATTTATCCTGAATTTTTACAATATGCTCAGCCAATGGTCAGTAACCTACGAACATGGAAGGAAAGAAATCTTTACGTTGAATGTGTCAGATTGAATTTATCCAATTGACGTTTTTGTAGAGATTTTCTGAATGCCTACTTTCGGATTGCTAATACTTTTCTGAAATTTAAAAAAAAGGCCTAGACCTTTCACACTGATCCTGATGGTTAGATCTTCAATGGGAAATGATAAAAGATACGTACAGGGCCAGGCATACTTCAAGCGATTTCAGTCGCGACGCGATTTGGCAATATTCCAACCGTCCATAACTCACTGTAAGCACATTTTGAATGTACAGAAGATGGGGCATTTTCATCGATCCGCGTAAGCTATACACACTATGCATGTGCAGTTCGCTAGTGTTGGATCTGAAGACTTCTGGCGAACTGCCAAATTGCGTCGCGACTGAAATCGCGTGAGCTAGCCCAGCTCTCAAATCGAAAGTTATAAATTGCGGTCATTGGAGTCGAGAAAGATGATCAATATATTATATGAAAATATGCATGTAACTCAAAATTCACTGAAACTTTTTATCGGAAGCAAATAGGAAAGGAGACTAGCTTAGTGATTTGTATTATTTGTCATGATTCTCACCACTTCTCGTAATCATTCACTTCAGCCAAATACGAGGGTTTGCAATTTCATTGGTTCATAATTTTGTTTTTTCCGAAATCTGTTGGACCTGTTTCATTTCTTTCATACTTTTTTGAACTTCCCAAGTTTTTTCATTATAGAATAACATTTTTGAAAGCAGTTTTCTGTCATAATTGCATAGGCAATATCTTCCATCGCACAGTGTATAAATTTCCTCCACCCCCCCCCCCCCTCTCTCTTCTGACACCACCACCTTTTGCAATCCACACTTTTTTGAGCGTTTGTACCTAGGCAATTTTCAATTAATGATGATGAAACACCGTAAAGCTTCTATTCTTCCACTTTTTCGTCCAAGACTTACCACTCCAATTCTTCCGCTTTATCTTTTTCTAGTTCGTCCAGATGCACTGTCCATATCAGTGCAAAAAGATAAACGGACATGCTTGCATGCGTTTCGAAAAGCAAAGTGGATTACAGACTGGCGTCTTGCATCAGCGCGTTACGTGTTGAAAATGATTGGAACTGTTCCTGGATCAAATCTGCTCCGAGCTTTTTTCGAAGCCTTATGATAAGCCACAGAACTGAAATGTTTTTATAACTAATAAGCTTCGCGCAACGTTGGAACCATTTTTGCGGCTTTGTCTTTTTTGAGTAAAGCTTCATAAGCGCATTTTAGTAGCAAAATTAGCAAAACTGGAATAAGGCCCTAATCAAATCCAATGATGTCCGCAGATACGAACAGGAGAGAGAGAGAGAAAGAAAGTAAGAAAGTTCAGGAACCTTGTCATTTTGTTTTTTTTCTCTCTACTCTGAAATTCATCGGAGCAGCTTCTCTATTCGTTTTTTACAAAATGCTATAAAAAAATCTCAACTTTTTTTATCGCTGCTTCACTACAATTCAAGCCGTCAGTCTTCTCTTGCAGATAAATATGATTTCTGCGCAATCAATTCTTTCGTACTTCAAGAAAACTGCTACCGCAATAAACACAAAATATTTACGAAAACTGACAGCTTTTGATTTTTATTCCCAAAGCTCAATCGTTATCGGGAAAAAAACATGAATGAGAGAATGACATAAATGAAATTATGGATTTATGCTCTGCAAGTTAACACTTATTTCAATATTTGTAAGTGTGTGCACCCTGAAAGCTGCGAAATCTGGTTTCATACCAAAAAAAATAGTTTTTCCTCTCTTTAGAATAATTTTGGCAGTAATGATAATTATCTACATAAGCGGAGCCCTCGAGATCAATTTGTTTTATGTGTCCTATAATACTCCAGCAGATATTAATGGGATTCAGTTATAATAAACTTTGAATATATGAAATTTGATATACTTTTGGCATTTACGGGTCCTGGAAAAATCATAATGCTCAATGGAAATTTTACGTTTTATTCAGATTTCAACTCTTCCGCCGAATTTATTATTTCTTACCAGACAGTCAAAGTTGTCATTGCCCCTGAGAAGAGGCTAACTACCATAGCAGTAGCGGCAAGACCATCTTCCAAATTTATACATTAAATTTGCGTTTCTTGATAATTTGAACTACATGATAACTGTATTTTTTCAATTAGTGTGTTTAGCCAATGTCTGCGCCAACATGGACTGTGCCCAAGAAGCGGAGTGTCGAGAGACTCCGATTGGACCCACTTGCCAATGTGTTAGCGGATTCGTTGACGTATCTAGACAACATGGACGGCCAGCTGGAAGAATCTGTAGACCCGTGGTCAATGAGTGCGCCGAGGGTAATCATGGAAATAATTAGTTATTAATGATCAATTTTTGAAAAGGAAAAAATTCAGGGAAACACGACTGCTCAACGCATGCTTCATGCATTGACACTGCCGATGGATTCACTTGTAGATGTCATGACAATTATAGAGATGAAAGTCCGTCACCATCAACGCTACCCGGACGAGTTTGCATTCGAGGTTAGTGACGTCATCGATCTCGTCCTCGTGGATAGATCCCTGAGGGAAGTGTCCGCGCAAGTGTAGCTCCTCAGGTTTCTTGTTTGCAGTGATTGGGAAGCCTTAACAAAATCATTGCCCAAGTGAAATCTCAGTCCATTCATGGATAAAATATCCATTGTCAAACTCTCGCCCACACCGTATTCCAGAGCGCATACTGCGCAGTAAGAGTACGGTACTGAGTTGGAGTTTACAGTCAGTTTGTCAAACACGAGTAAACCCATGATGCCTCTTGCAGTAACTTACACAGGGCCTCTTAATCAGTTCCCGCGTAATAAACTAGCATTCCCTTTATGTGAAACCAATATGTTTTTTGCAGCTTTTGTCCCGGATCCACCCGAGTGTGAAGTGAGCGATCCGATGAGCTGTGATCAGCGAAAATCGGAGGTAGAGCTCAATGTTTTTCAAATTGGCAATGTTCCAATTCCTCTATCTATCCCAGGTTTGCGTTTTCATCAATGGAACCTACAAATGCCGATGTGCTAATGGCTATTCTCGACTACCTGATGGAAGATGTTTGGCCATAAATGAATGCGAACATAAGAAACTTAACACTTGTGGAGAAAATGCTGAATGCATAGACTTGGTCAGTTCACTTCACAAATCTCGCCTTACAGTAAGACTACAGTAATCTTCCAGGCCGAAGGTTACACTTGCCAATGTCGTTCTGGATATGCGGATGTTTCACGTGCCGGTCAACCAGGTCGTGTTTGCAAAGCTCGAGTGAATGAGTGCTCAAATAAGTACGACCTACATATTTTGAGATTTGTAGAACTACTAAAAAAATTTATTTTCAGAGAAAAATATCGTGTTGATTGTGATGAGAATGCAATTTGTGTGGATACAGATGATTCCTATACTTGCCAATGTCGTCCAGGATATGCTGACATTTCTGCTTCGTTCAATCGATTACCCGGTAGGTTGCTTTCCTTTAAACCCTTGAAAATTTTGGTATTTTGGCAATCTGCCAGATTCATTTATTGTACTGTAGAATCCTGTCATCGAAAACATTCATGATAAACGGGAAAAATCAAAATGCTGGCTACTTTCTGTTTTATTCTTTTACTACTGGTAACTAGTAATGAAAGTGGCAGTACGAAAAATTGTTTTAGGGAGGGGAAGGGGGAGGACAAAGTTGGGATGCTTTTAAAATTTTTGCGCCTTATTCCGAAAAAAAAAATTCAACAGAACTGATCCAAATTGTCTGTCTTTAGAAAAATCTTCCATTGTTTACAAGTAACAAATCATTTGTGCAATTTTTCAGTCATGTGGGTACTTTTGAAAATTTCTCGTCTGCTCCCCCCCCCCCCTCTCGGTACGCTAGTATGTTGATGGAAATTCTTAATGTATCCTGTAGGCATTTTTGTACTTTTTTCCATTCCAGTATAGTTGGGTCAATTCCTTTCTCATTTAGACTTTTTTCATAAATTTTTTTTGGTTTAATGACCTTTTTCAACTGTAAATTGATTGAAGTTTATTGAAATTGTCTAGCGGAACCGTAGAAAAATTTGTGACTTCCGAATCTGAAGAATCCCGGGAATTTTCCAGGCCGTCGTTGCATTGAAGCAGTTAACGAATGCTCCGTTAAAGGAATGAATGATTGCTCTGAGTTCGCCTTCTGTGAAGATGCAAAGGTAGTTTTTTTCCACACTTGGCCATAAGAATCCCAAGTGATGCACAAAACTCAAATACATATTATGCCTTTTAGGAAGGTTACGTATGTACATGCCGTCCAGGATACGTTGACGCATCCCCGAATGCTACTCATTACCCGGGACGAGTTTGTCGTAAGCCTGTCGAGAAACTTACCGTAACCGAGTTTACTAGTTCTTTCTCACATGATACATGTGATCCGAAGGTAGGGCAAAGATTTACTCTTATTTTTGCAATTTCTCAAATTTTTGTTTGTCAGAAGTCTCGCTGTGGCGCGAATGAAGTCTGCACGGACCGCGGACAACGAGGACATTTTACTTGCCAATGTGCTGAGAACGCTTTCCGTTACGAAGATGGCACGTGCCGAGGTTCGCAAAATTGCACAAAATTGATTAGCAAGATGCTTTTTATCCTCTCAAATGGGGAAGTAGGGCAATTACTCGTCCCTAGCAATCCCAAACTGATTGATAAGCAAGTAGGACGTCATAGAGCGAGAAAGTTGACACTGGTATGGAGGCCAAGTTGATTCATGAGTGGTAATTGGTGGTAGTGGGTGAAGGGCGCGGCGCCTCGCCTGACCTGTTTCGGTTGCTGAGATCGTCTCTCGACTTCCAGTGTGTCGGTCGAGCGGAACTTAATGTTAGTCCAATCCATCTATGCTGATAAGGGGTTTAACTACGTCATCAATGATTAAGAGGCGTCGAAGAGTGGAAATGCCGGATTCTGCGGGAAACAAATGGGGATTTTATCAGTCACGAATATGGTCAGATCAATTACTAGGCGCTGAACAAATCTAAAGGCAGCGTCCAGGCGAAATCTATGCTCACCCGATTAGTACCTAATCTACAAGAAGGCCCTAGGAGTTTGACCTACTCGTTGGCTCGGTTCTCTAATGTGGCCCCTGGATGGAAAGAATGGACCTGGACCTGCGGAAGTGCTGTTAAGCCACGCCCCCTCTTCAAGCTCCGCCCAACCAAAAATGAAAGTCTTCTATGCCTTCGGGCATATGTGTAATTAAAGGGAGGGAAGTCTCAAAACGACAAAAATTTGGAAGACGAAGATTTGGATGGATGCTGCCTTCAATAAATTTTGAAGATTTTACAATGGATTTTCTGGACGAAATTTTCTACTGATAGGAACATTTAAAAGAAAAGGATATCCTTTTTCGTGCAACTTTGAAGCGCTAGGGAGAAGATCAAGACCAAAAAATGCTTGAAAGATTTTAATGGAAATTTGTATATTTCCGGAAAGCTTTTCTTGAGCGTTCTAGTGATGCACGGAAGACCCAATCGTCTTGCAGTTTTTCCAAAATAGCGAATTTTGAAGTAAAATCCCAAGTTTTCAAGTATATATTTTTTACCATCTTCTGCTGGAAGTTTTGAGCAAGAAATTATGAAAGAGATCAAAGTTTCTTTGAAAGACCTTGTCGAATTCCATGTGGAACTTCTAGGTAATGAAAGAGGTTCCCGTTTAGATTGACGGGGAGCTAAACATGTACAGACGCTGTGTCAAAAGCAAATTTCATGAGTTAAAGTAATTTCTTTGAGAATGAACTCATTACGAAGTTAGTTTGAGTCTAGATTTGTCTCTGTATCTCAAAACCAAATCGTATATTTTCGAGTTCTCAGCAGCACCACTTACGCACTTGACGGTTTAAACGTTCAAGTTTATTATATCAGCTTTTTCTTTGCTTTGGTCTAAAAACGCTAATTATTATCTCAAGCACTTTTCGATGCCAGATGAATAATCTACTATTGATTGCTTTCGAAATCTCAATCTCAAAAAAAAACATACGAAATAACTCAAAACAAGTCCTCTCATATGATTATAGAAATGTCGACAAGTTTTTTGTTATGAGTGGGGTCCAAGCACGTATTGGAAGTGCTTCTTCTCGTCTCACCATTGAGCAGGCACAAGACGAGAATATGCCTCATAAAATGCATAATGGATGATGTTAGCATTGAAGCTTGTTCCAGTGGCTAACATCAATCTCTTATGGAGTGTGTGTGAAGGAACAAGGGAAAAAGGATCAATCACCATAGATGTGGATCCAAAATGAAACAGAGCCAAAGCAATTCTTTGAAAAAATAAGGAACATTTAACTTATGAAAAACCTCTAGCCTTAAGCATGATCTTGATTATTTTCTTTTTGGAAGCTCCACCGTAATTATTTTCCCTTATTGTCTACCAGGTCCTTCATTGGAAGGATGGAGCAAATTTTATCCACTGTTTGTGGCCTTCAATGTTTTCGACTAACAGTTTGACATAGTTTCCGCATGTTGGTTCAAAGATGGGGGGGGGGGGGCTAAGAGTTTTTCGAATTTCGATTATTGTTGCCTATGATCGATTTGATGCTGTTGTACTTTATCTGAAAAACACTTCAGCTTTTTTAAATACAAAGTAAAAAAACTTTCTATGGCACCCAAGTTGGAAATGATTTTTAAATAGAAACTACGAGGCATAGCTTTGGCAAGCTTTGAGGCGATATTTGAGACCTTTTGTCTCCAAAACTATTGAGTTATGAACAAAATATGTGATTTACAGTATTCTCTGCATGCTCGAGAACTAACGAATGCGACCGAAATGCAGTTTGTCTAAATACTTTCGATTCCTACAGCTGCCAGTGTCGTCCCGGATACATCGACATGTCGCCAGATCCGGAAAAGAAGCCCGGAAGGATCTGCAAAGAACGTAAGTGGCGGTATTTTTGCGTCATTTGCGGCAATTAATCAACCATATGTTCTCTGCAGTGGTGAACGAATGCGCCACGACGAATAATGAATGCTCGCAATTTGCAAAATGTGTGGATCTTACCGAAGGATACGCATGTCAATGTTTGGAGGGATATGTGGATGTATCGTCAAAGCATAAACTGCCACCTGGTCGGAGATGCTCGCAATGTAAGACTCTAAATATTTTCCTCTCAGAGGAACTTCCAGAATTTTCTAGCATCATTGCTTTACAAGTACTCAGAAAAATCGATTAAACCGAATGCATTGTCTTACTACAAATAGTCATTTCAGCAGACTCTTAGATGCCTATGAGTCGCGGCGCTTTTGTACGTGTTGCAGCGTTGTGGCGGCGCGGCTGCGATGCCTTTGAGCTGCAGCAGTGCATTCTCGCAACTGGAATAAACTTTATGTATTTCTAGTTCTGGTATTCAATAGACGCAAATTGATAATTCACTACTTTCACATTTCAGAATGTTTTTTATATTTGAAAATTTTTCTACCTTCGCTCTCCTTTTTTGGATTTTGAAATTGGCACTGTTATCTTTTTTGCAAGACTCTTATCCTTAAACGTAATATGAGACCTCTGTAAGATTCCATAGCGGTTCAACATTCCATTCTATCAAGGAAGCCAGAAGCTGACGCATGTTCGCGAGCGCCGCGACTCACAGGCATCTTAGCTGCATGTCTCACTATTGTCGTAAGGTGACGTCATTTTGTACTTCAGACTTGGTCCGGATACCGCCAAACTCTTATTAACGTTCAGAATTTTTTCTTAGATTTAGCAATAGAAGAATAAACTACAAGAATTGAGAAAATTTGTAATTTAGCCAACAACGAATGCGCATTCAAACATCTGAACACTTGTGACGAGAATGCCGATTGTATCGACACGCCAGATGGTTATACTTGCCAGGTAAGGTAACCTTAATCTACCCCTAACCCAGTGAGTTCATTTTTACTCCTGCAGTGCTATGCTGGTTTCGTGGACGTCTCCTCAAACGCAAATCTGCCTCCTGGTCGTGTATGCACGGTCCAAACAACTTGCCCTAAGCAGAAAACAGATCTCGTGTTCTTGATCGATGGTTCTGGTTCGATTGGGTCCTATGTATTCAAAAATGAGGTCCGACAGTTTTTATGTGAATTCCGCTGAAATGGTAAATGTAAGTTTAGGTGCTGAGGTTTGTGCGAGAATTTGTGGAACTGTTCGAGATTGGCTTGGATCGCACAAGAGTAGCCCTTATCCAGTACTCAGATCAGATTAGGCACGAGTTTGATCTGGACCAGTATACTGACAAGGTAGGACATCATCTTCTTTGTGGGACCCATAGGAATATGTTGTTCAGGCATCTGTGCTTCGAGCCATTACTGAAACGCAGTACCTTACCGGCCTTACCCGAACAGGCGCTGCCATTCAGCATATGGTCCAAGAGGGTTTCAGCGAGAGACGGGGAGCCCGACCACAAACCAGCGATGTCTCAAGGTGAGCCACGATCGTTTCTCTCCCCCCCCCCCCCCCACCCTAGCAAGTATGATAAATACATGTGGCCTTTTTAGGGTAGCCATAGTGCTTACCGATGGTCGTTCGCAAGACAATGTGACTGGTCCAGCTGAAGCTGCTCGCAAGCTGAGCATTACCACCTTCTCCATTGGTGTGACCGACCATGTTCTCGCGAGTGAGCTCGAAGCCATTGCTGGTTCACCGAATAGATGGTTTTATGTGGATAAGTTCAAGGTACGACAAGAAGTAACTTACATTCGAATTCTTCTGCTGCGATATGCCAAAAATTTGCGCGTATTCGGTGCCGTTTTTCATTGAAAAAAGGCGACTGTACATAAAAAAGATCTCAAGAGCTTAAAAAATAAGAAGTAAAATAAAAAATCTTTTTCACCCTTTTTCTACCCTACGACGTAGTGGAAAAACCGTGTTAGCCCTTAGTCCGATTGACCAGTAAGGAGGCTAATGAAGTAATAGAAGGAAAGATAAAATCAAAAATATTTCACATGTATTCTTGCCCTAGTCGCATCCTAAAAAGCGTGAGGAAGTCCATTTCGAAATTTTGTGAATTTAGCTAATTTTTATCCGTTTGGCCTTAAAGCAACTGGTTTTAATTCATTTAAATCTGAATCAAATACACTGTAATTATTTGAGTTTTATAGATACCAAATAATAATATGGGTGGATTACCGAATTTCGGCGAATTTTTCGCAGAAACATCCGCAATTTTCAGTATTATATTTTTAAAATTAGTCCTAGACATCAATAGCATGATTTGCAATAGCCAAATTCATTTAAAATTATAGAATATGAAGTTTTTAGTATGAGCACTACTCAATGAGTTTTCTAGGATTTGGATACTCGCCTTCGCTCGATGATCCAAAAGGCAGCTTGTCCACCTGTGGCCAAAGTTGAATCACCTCCTCAGGGCACCTGCAATCCTAAAACTCAAACCGGCTGTGACCGGTCACTTAACGAATTCTGCGTGGAAAAGAATGGACGGTATGTTTGTTCCTCATAGCAAATTTTGGCATTTGACCCGATAGATCTTTTCAGGACCCAATGCGTTTGTCCGGCTGGCTTCCATCGCCATCCCACGACAAGAGTTTGCGGTGGTTCGTTGTGTAATCCACAACTGGTTACTTCCTGCGTGTACCCAGAGGAATGCCTGGTTACTCCATATATGAACTTCCGATGTGCTTGTCCGGACGGATACTCGAGGGATCATAGGACTGGATTTTGCGGTAAGCAATTTTTCATTTAGCAATCAAGCTATGTCCAATTGGCAGCTCACAAGATTCATTCTTGGCCGGAGAATTCAAGTCCAAACTCTCGCCCAGACCATACTCTCTACCGTATCCCGCTCGCTCTCGAGCGCGCTGATTGGTCGGCTCAGAAAGGGTACGCTCTGGACGCCAGAGTTTGGAGTTTCTTCTAGCCTTTTGAAATTAAGATGTTAAAATTAAGTCAAAGATCTGCCGACCGGAGATTTACGTAATATCGCAATTACAGTATCCGTCAAAGAAGTCCACATATTCCAACAACAAGATGCTGATTGTCATAATGGTGGTCAGAAATGTGGTCAGAACGAATATTGTGCAAGTGATAGAAGTGGACATTGGTTCTGCGAATGCAAGTCTGGATTCGAGCGCAGTCCTTCGACAGGGCAGTGCAGTTACCCAGGTAATTTTACCCTAACCTGCTCTTCCTTGTGGTATGTCAAAAAAGTCTGAAATAGGTTCTTGTGCGCCTGACAAGCCAAATTCTTGTGATATTCGCAAACGAGAGAAATGCTTGCCTCATGGTAATTTCTTCACTTGCCAATGCGACAGGAACGAGAGAAGGCACCCTGTTACCGGCATCTGCTGTGAGTTTATCACCCCCTCTCCTATCTTTTTCCCAAAAGTGGAATACCTGAGTTTCAGTGAAGAATGAGTGCCTCACTGGAGAAAATGATTGTGACCGCTCGGCTCGCTGCATTGACACTGATGATGGCTACTTGTGTGCTTGCCCTTCAGGATTCATTGACAGATCTCCTGATCCAGTGACCAAGCCAGGAAGATTGTGTGTGGCTGAGCAGAATGAATGCCTTGATGGAACTCATAAGTAAGTCTCAAAGTCTAATGGTATAGGAACGAGCTCAAACCCTTTGATTCAACTGGATTTACGGCTGGAAGGCGGGCCTTTATGACCTAATCAAGAGTTGGTAACGATCAGGGAGCACGCGCGAGGGAGAAACGCAGACTGCATAGCGGGCGCGAGCGGCCTTATTAGTCACAAAGCCTTTGCAGACGCCAAGCCAGTTGAATCAAAGGTTACTACATTACCATTATTTGTAACTCTAAAGAAAGGGTGAAATTTAAGCAAATAAAGCTTACCAATCAATTTTTCGAAAAATTAGATCAAAGATAAATTGGCTAATGATTCTTCTACAACTCACAATATTATCTTTTGAGAACTGCAGTAATTAATGAGTCACTGCAGTAATTAATGAGTCACCAATTTTTTTAATCATTATTCAATCAATTCAGCGGCAAGGCTTTTATAGACCTTTTGGGTAAGCTGTGACCATAAAAGTATAATTCTCCAGTCTCCCCCCCCCCCTTCTTCCAACTTTTATTGTTATAACATACTAAATGTACTGTAATTAGTCTATAAAATCAGCGGTATTGCAACAAAATTTTTATAATCATGTTTTGGCATGTGGTGGTTCCGAAAAAAATTTGCGGAAGAATTTTTGATAGCATCGAAGCGGTGTGAGCTATGTGCGACCTTCTCAACAAATTTTGCGATGATTCTCAGAATTTATCCGGTTCAAGTTTCGATTGAGAGTCCTATAAAAGAAATCCTTACAAAATTGTTGTGAATTCTCATAAAATCTATAGAGTCCATCTATGCAAAAATAGAAACGTTGTCTGTATATTTAACTCATATGGACTAGTCATTCACCATACCCCTCCCCCCTCTTTGTTCGGGTCCGCTACTATTTATATGACAACTGGTCCAATTCAAAATCTTTTGCATGATTCATTCCACCACTGCCTATCTTCTTTGCGCGCCAATATATTTCAGTTTTCTTTCTAAAAGGTAAACAGTTGATTTCATGGATAAGCTATCATACAATGCCATTTTTCATATAACGTTTATGAACCAAAATTCTAAATAACGGAGTATTTTACATGTCATTTTTTTAGATGCTCACCCTTTGCTCTTTGCACGGACACCCAGTCTGGCTATGTATGTCGCTGTAAGCCAGGATATGTGGACTACTCGCCAAATGCTCAGAGGTAAAACGTCCAAATCAATTTTTCCTAACTCTAAAATATTTTTCACAGTTTCCCCGGCCTCGTTTGCAAGGAACTCGTCAACGAGTGCTCGTCTCCAAGTCTGAATACTTGCGATCGCAATGCCATCTGCATTGACACAGTCGAAGCCTACACTTGCATCTGCCGGTCCGGTTATATTGACATGGACGAGTTCCGCAATCCAGGACGTCGCTGTCAAAAGGGTAAGTGGACGAGTTCGCAGTGGCTGCCTTTCCAACCTGTTTTAGTTACTGTTACAGTGAAACAAAATGATCGCTGCTCGGCTGGCAAGAATGATTGTGATCGCAACGCTCGTTGCTCGCAGATAGGTAGGTCGCACACATTACGGAAAATTACAGAAATCATAAAAATAAATTTGCTCCTTTTTTAGGCGAAGACGACTATACTTGCACTTGCCCTCCAGGATTCAAGGATAAATCTCCATCGGCTTCACGACCAGGAAGAGTTTGCATTCCAGTAATTCCTGAATGCGATAATCCAACTCTAAACGATTGCGATTCGCCTGATAGAGCCATCTGTACCGATACTGATGACGGATATATGTGCAGGTAAGAATACCCAGTGTCAAATTGAGATAAAAAAGTGATAAATCAAATTAGGATGGAAAAATTGCTAGACAGTCTTTTACATGGTTTTCCAGAACAGAGCTTTGGTGTAAATTTGCTATTTTTTCATTTTATTCGATACATGCTGTTTTACAACTCAGAAAGGAAACAGGTTATTAGATTGACATAGTGAATTCTTAGAAAATACATTTTTTCAAAATTGCGGTCCTATGGTAAGGACGTCTCTCGCAAAATAATGTCGCACCCTTTTTTAAGATCCCTAAACTGCAGATTCTATAATGGTCTCATTAAATGAACGTACCCGTATTTTTCTGTGAAACTTTTGTGGTCAAATAGATCATTCCCACGTACTTTTTTGAGAAATCTGAATATTATCGCAATTTATGAGAATTTCTTCTTTTTATCCTTGTGTTTGTTCCTGCATGTGGTCATATTTTGGAATTTTCCTAGAATATAATTTTTAGAAACTTTCTTTTGACAACTTTTTTTTGCTTCCATATTTTTCCTATAGTATTATCTCTAGAAATTATGTCAATTTGATATCTTTTTCAGATGTCGTCAAGGCTTCCTCGACATTTCTCCAAACATCGCCAGCAAGCCAGGAAGACTTTGCAAGCCTCGTTAGTTTTCTAATCATTCAAAATCGTCATGAGTCGTTCAGGAATATTCAGTTTCTTTTCAGTACAAAACGAATGTGCTCTGGGCACTGACGATTGCGCACGTGATGGAGGTATATGCGAAGATACGCCGGATTCCTACCTTTGCCGATGTGCCATGAATTATCTGGATGTCTCGTTTGACAGACAAAATCGGCCTGGCCGAAAGTGCAAACGATGTGAGTTGGGTCTGTTTGCCGTGGGCCGATGCTATTCCAGTGTCGTGCCAGCGTCGTGCCGGATCTTAATTGGGCGCGCCCCGGATCAATCGATGGATGTTTACGGCACGGCACTGGCACGAGTATCTCCGGACGCAGCTTAGAATTCAGTGCTAAGGAAATTGCTTTGAAAAAATTCGAAATCAATAATTTAATGTTGAATTATAACGTCTTCTTTTCAGTGGTTGACGAATGCGCCACCGGCCAGAATGACTGTTCTCGTGAAGCGATTTGTACTGACACCGAGGACAGTTATGTCTGCGCGTGTCCTGCCACGCATATCGACCTTTCGGCTGATCCGGTGAATCGACCTGGTAGAAAATGCTTGTTGAGTAAGTAAAATCAGTTTCGAATAAGGGTCTTTTCTGGCCACCTCCGCGGACAACTGTTCCTTTCGCGATGTTGTTACATGTTTGAGGACCAGTAGCCCACGGGGTCGGCCCAATATGGCGGAGACTGTTCCTCTACCCTCCGTTTTACCTTGGAAACCCTGAACAATGTTAATTTTTCAGGAATCAATGAATGCACTTCTGGACGTCATGATTGTTCACCAAATGCTGATTGTATGGATACGCCTGAATCGTACAAATGCCGTTGTCGTGACGATTTTGTGGACGAGTCTCCTGATATCGCACATCGTCCAGGAAGAATCTGCCGACCAGCATTGGTTGATGAATGCCGTTTGGGCAAACACGACTGCCATAGCGATGCAGTTTGTCAGGTGAGCTGAAAGAGATCATATAGAGGGGAACACAAAAGAATAAAAAATTCAAATATTCAATAAAATAAATCCAGACGTTGTCGATGTGAGTTTCAGCTCCAAACCCAAATTTATTTTCTCCTGACCTTCAATTCGGAAAAAAGTTTGCGTTGAGTGTGCCGGTGTTGTTCCAGCGTCGTGTCAGCGCCATGCAGGGATCCATGTTAGCGCGTGTCCAGTTCAATCGATCGATGTTCCTACAAATGGCGTTGGCGCAGCGCTGACGCCAGCTATTCTGGACGTAGCAAAACTTCTTTTAAAAAGCTTGCTATCATAGTTCGAAAACATCACGTTAAAAAAATTTCTAGAAATCATGAAAATCTTTTACTCTTCTCAAAAAACTTCAATTTTGGAACTATAGATTGACCATGATGAGTTATGAATCTCATTTACATCCCCTTTCTTTTTCAGGATCTTCCCCAGGGCTACACCTGTAGATGCAAACCAGAATTCCTCGACCAGTCACCGCATCGTGCCACTCACCCTGGACGACTTTGCGTTCCACGACCAACACCTCCTCCACCCGAATGCCGAATTGATGGTCCCAATCAGTGTAAACCTCACTTGAACGAAGTCTGCCGTCTTGTTGGAGGCGAACCGAAGTGTGCTTGCCCAATTAACTACCAAAGGGATTCTACTGGCTCGTGCTCAGGTAAACTCCTTTGAGAGAGTTTTCGAAGATTTGCAGAGTGTTATGAATACTATTTTCAGTAATCAACGAATGCGAGTTCCCTCAACTCGTTGACTGCCATCCGTCAGCCGAATGTGTCGACCAACTTGTGGGATACACATGCCGCTGCAGGCCTGGCTTTAAGGATATTGGAGACAAGCCTGGAAGGATGTGCAAGCCACGTAAGTTCACTTTCAGAGCTTTCCTGATTTCGGAGAAAATTCAAAAATGGCGAATGGGGCCCTTATGGAAGTTAGTATCATAATGAGCAAAGTTAGCAAATCCTAAGAAAATCAATGGAAACATATATATGTTGCCAAAAAATCGATATATCGATCAGGTGCGACTAGCTATGGGTTCGTCTCCATTAGAAATTGACATACAAAATAAAAGGATAAAAGTGCAGAAATCCCAGCTCGTGCTGGCCGATTTCCATTGTATGGGCTTCAAAAATAAAGTAATTGGTTAAGGAGTTCTTCAGTAATGAAATATTTTTTAGTAAGAGATCTGTCAAGCTTGACACTCTCAGTTATTTAGCATTGAAAGAACGATCTTGCAACTAGAGGAAGAATCATGCTTTTCCTTTCTAGTAGTCAACGAATGTCAGTTCCCACATTTGAACGATTGCCATCAAAATGCGCAATGCATTGACCAAGAAGAGGGCTACGAGTGCAGGTAATTAGTTTTCGGCTAGAAAGCTGCAAGGGGTCCCTACTTCCACATTTCCGTCTTGATACAGATCCTAAAAGTGTTTTTATAGATGCAATCAAGGCTTTATGGATCGCTCTCGAGGTCGACCGGGTCGTATCTGTAAGCAACTCATTGACGAGTGCGCTAATCAGGGAATGAATAGCTGTGACAGAAACGCAAAGTAATCCAGACGTCATCATCAATTTTATTGCTAAAATAGATTTTTAGATGCATAGACGAAGAGGAAGGATATCGCTGTGAATGTCGCGAAGGATATTTGGACGTTTCGCCATCGGTACAACTCAAAGGAAGAAGCTGTCGCAAATGTAAGGATTATGATTTTATTTCTCCTTTAAATCTCAAAATATGTTTTTCAGTGATCAACGAGTGCCAAGACCCCAAACTGAATGACTGCGATAGAAATGCAAAATGTCGTGACACCATGGATTCCTATGAGTGCGAATGTCCTCCCAATTCCAAGGATATCTCTCCGAGTGCTGCATTCCCAGGACGAGTTTGTTTGATGTGTAAGTTTGAGCTTTTTTCTGAAAATCTCATATTTTCGCAAAAAATGAAAATTTTAGTCGAAAATGAATGCCTAACTGGAAAGCACGATTGTGACCCGTCGGCAATTTGTCACGATAACGAACAGTCGTTCTCGTGCGAGTGTCCAGCCGGCTTCATTGACCGATCGCCCAATAAACTTCATCGTCCCGGACGAGTTTGCGTCAAACTTGTGCGTTATATTTTTTAGCTCGCTGTTCTTCAAGTTTAGCAACCGCTTTAGGTTGATGAATGTGCCACTGGTCGTCACACTTGCAGTGAACAAGCGGATTGTCGCGATCTAGAGGAAGGCTATACTTGCGAATGTCGTGAAGGTTATGTGGACCGCTCGCCGAACCTTGCTAGTCAGCCTGGACGAGTTTGCAGTGCTCCTGGTAAGCGTAGGGAAATCGAAGTCGAATACTGTAACACTAGTTTGTTGAGAAAGCATGCTTCTTGCCTAGTTATACTGCGGCAAGGAGCCTTACACTACCAATAGTCTTTGCCCGCGTAGTCACTTACCCCCCCCCCCCCTTCTCCACCCCCGAGATTTTGAGTACTCACTCATAAATAATTTAGAAAATCTCTGAAACCTTTTGAAAATGCAATGCATCTTCGTAAAAAGGTCCACTAAGAAGTTGGGGAGCATCTTGAAAAAAAATTTTCGGAGGTGTTGCTAATAAAGGAAACATTTCGGACCACCAAAAGCCTAAAACCATGCTCAATAATTTTGCATCTGCCAATTTTCTTATCATACCCGTACATGATAATGATGAAACTGATCCCTACTTAACGTTGATGACATGTTGATCACCAAAATTGAAAGAATAGTTTTATCACACTTTTAATCGCAGAGGGTGATTTAATATTATCACAGTGGCCGAATAGGTGCTTTCTAATCTGCGAAATCTGCGACTTATATCTTTTTCCAATTGATTCATGAGATTTCAGAAGTCTGCCCTTCGAATCACGAATGTAGCTCAGCTGCTGTGTGTGAACCACTAGGAGGCAATAAGTACCAGTGCTCTTGTATCCAAGGCTATGTTGATCAGTCTCCTAATGGGCAGAAAGGACGAGTTTGCGTGAGAAGTAAGTTGCCAACTTGTTGCTTAGCCAAGAAAAAAATCACCTTGTTCCAGACAACGCTTGCCGAGATCCAAAGCTCAATACATGTTCGAGAAATGCCATTTGTTATGACGAAGCTCGTGGATACCGCTGCGAATGTGCTCGTGGATTCATAGATCGTTCACCAGATCCAGCCCAACGAGGACGAGTTTGCGAGCCTCCGCCACCGCCGACACCGCCGCCTAGTAAGTTCTGGAGGGTCCTTCTCTGTTCCTGTAGAGTAAGACTTATTTCAGAACATCCCTGCCAAGACCCAACTCTCAATGACTGCCATCCAGCTGGCACTTGCCGAGCTACTGGGGCTCAATCGTACACTTGCGAATGTCTTCAGGGCTATGCCGACAAGTCACCTGATCCTAGCAAACCAGGAAGAATTTGCGTGCTGACAGAGCCAGTCTGCTTAGATAGAACGTAATTTTTATGCATTTCATTTCATTTCTGTATTTAGAAAAACAGCCATAATAACCATCAGACTCTCACTAAAAAAGTCACGGTAGACGTAGAGTATTTTTGCAGCATTCATGGCGAAAAATGAATTATCAGGTTAAAAAAGGGCGTTTCTTCTTGCAAGATAGTCTTGAAAATTCCTAACTTTCGGGCTAAAAAGCTGTAAATTGTATTTCTATGGCAAATTTTTAACTTCTGCATTTTTATTTTTTCTACATGGGCAAATTCATAACTGATTCAGCTTTAGGTATATTAGCAAATTTCAGCTACTCCATTTAGACTGAAAATGATCGCCCATGGTAATATTAGGTTGTTAAATAAGTCTTGTTACACTTAACTTCTAAGAGCGATAACTCATGTACCTCATATTCTTTACAGGGCTACAGGGTACCATTCGATAGCGCAAAACAAGCTCTACAAGGTGGTGGCAAAAGTTCGCACCAGCTCCGATCCACCGTAACTTTGCATCCAAAATCTGAGTCGCAGTGAAGGCTCAAAAATTGCGAAAAATTCATATCTTTGTTCAGAAAAGTCCTACGAAGCTCCAACTTGCTCATAAAAATTGTCCACTATATCAAACAGTCATATGCACCGTTGCTGTATTTTTTCCTCATCTAGAAATCGAGAAAAGGAAGATTTTTTAGTTTTTACAAAAACGAAGCTATGTTGTTTCTATCCATGTAGCTGTATACTACAAGCCCTTAGAAGTATAGCCGTAAATTTTTAGCTCTCCAAAAGCCCTAGTTTTCGAAAAATACCGAATTTAGCTTTTTTCACTCCGGTGTTCAATGCTAAATTCGGTATTTTTCAAAAGCCAGGGATTTTAGTAAACTGAAAATTTACGGCTATACTTCTAAGGGCTTGTAGTATACAGCTACATGGATAGAAACAGCACAGCTTTGTTTTTTTTAAAACTAAAAAATTTTCCTTTTCTTGATTTCTAGATGAGGAAAAAATACAGCAACGGTGCATATGAGTGTTTGATATAGTGGGCAATTTTTGAGAGCAAGTTGGAGCATCGTAGGATTTTTCTGAACAAAGATATGAATTTTTCGCAATTTTTGAGCCTTCACTGCGACTCAGATTTTGAATGCAAAGTTACGGTGGATCGGAGTTGGTGCGAACTTTTGCACAACACCTTGTAGAGCTTGCTTTGCTCTATCGAATGGTACCCTGGAGCCCTGTAAAGAACATGAGATGTATGACTTATCGCCGTTAGAAGTTAAGTGTAACAAGACTTATGTAACAACCTAATATTATAAACTTTTGCTTTTCGTCATGAGTTCTCTTTTTCTTCTTTTTTTCGCCATGGGATTTTGCCACGGCCTCAATAATTGATTTCCATTTGCTCTAGATAGAGTTTTAAAGGATGATTTCTCCTACAGCCGGATGGCTATGGAATCTCCTTTATTATCTCACTAAAATTGCACTTTTTAACCTTCAAAATTTTATATTTTCCAGCCAAAATGACTGTCACTCTGCTGCCATCTGTAGCGAAGTTTCTGGCCCCGAGAAATACACTTGCCAATGTCGTGACGGCTATATCGACCAATCTCCTAACAAAAACACTCGACCTGGTAGGATATGCGTAGAGATGGTGAGTTTGAGAATCTCGAAAAAATGGAAGCATTTCAAATGTGAAAAAATTTTGAGAAAGTCAAAATCTGCTGAAAACATGCATGTTTAGGTGAATGAATGCCTGGATCGTTCCTTGAACGACTGCCATGCTCTGGCCATTTGTGAGGATAAGAGAGAAGGCTATACTTGCCGCTGTCCGATTAATACCATGGACAAATCTCCAGATAGCAATCGCCCAGGACGTCTTTGTAAGTTTTTCTTTATTTTGGGGGGTGACCAGAACTCAAAAAAAAATTTGTAGGTGTCAAACAAATCAATGAATGTCGAAATCCTTCACTAAATATGTGCTCGAGATTTGCTGAATGCATTGACAAAGAGAATGGCTATGAATGCAGGTGTAAGCAGGGCTATCACGACAATGATCCCAGTCATCCTGGAACACAGTGCACCTACAGTAAGCCGAGCATGCTTAAGTGGGTCCTAAGGAGAAAATCCTCAACTTTTCTAGTCATCAACGAATGCGATTCACCTAACCTCAACGACTGTGACCGCAATGCGATTTGCATAGATAAAGAGGGTGGTTACGATTGCAAGTGTAAGCCTCCATACAAGGATGAAAGCCCATCAGGTGAGTTCATCTTAAGAGGTGAACTTATGAAGAGACCAAGAAAATTGTTCCAGGTCATCCCGGACGAGTTTGCCGCCTCAATGAATGCTTGGACACTAATCTGAACAATTGCGATAAGAATGCTGAATGTCAAGACATGGATGATGGCTACATTTGCAGTTGTCGCGAAGGTTTCTATGACCAATCACCAAATCCACAAGAGCCCGGACGAGTTTGCTTGGAGTTCCAGGTAAATTTGGGTGTATGACCTTATGAAACGCTCGCGCGCGATGCACTTTGCCACGTCGCTAACAGAGTGGACGAGTTACATCACATGGTTAACGTGGACGCATCATGGTTAGCTAATAATATATCCGTGCCAATGCTTACCATCGTTCTGGACATGATAGATGTGCAAAAGTGAACAAGCATACTTTCCCGCGCAACTCGTTCAGTTTCCTTGCTCCGCCCTCTCAATGCGCGGCCAATCAGAGCCCACTACTGACCAATCAGAAGCGCGCCGCAGTTGCGAACGGTTTAAATAGGCCGTTCTTCAATTTTTTTCTTCAATTCCTCAAAGGCAGAGCAGATGATCATCTATTTATAGGTTGACCAGAAAATCGAAAAAGTCACCGATACCCCCGTACAATCTCACCCACTCAATGAAGGTTTACCCTGTGGTAGAGATTACTGTAAGATACCGTTGGGAGAAGTGTGCATTAGCGGTTCTTACTGTGGATGTCGTCCAAGCGAAAGTAGATCCATGGGTACTGGAAGGTGAGCGAAAATCTTGAACCCCCTTTTGATGAATAGAAATATCTTCCTTGCAGATGCGAACGAGTCGAAGAAACTCCACTGCAGATCCGTGTTGTCAGCAGAGATTCTCGTCCGCTGCTATATTCTAGCGAATATGGATCAACGAAGAGTCCTCCGTATGTGGAGATCGTTGACTTGTTCCAGGTAGAACCACTGAAATCGGTTCGGGGTAAACGGGAGGAAAACACCATCTGTTTCAGAAAGATATGGGTCGTGCCTTTGGAGGTACGGTTTATGCTCCGCGTTATGTGAACACAAAAGTGGAATACATCACTCATCCGAAAACGGTCAACAGGTAAAGTGAACTTCTAGATGTGATCCTTGAGACTAGCTTTGCAAAAAAAAATTCTAAAGTTTGAAAGCTGTAAACTCGAAAAATTTTGCGCAAAAATAGCGTACAAAACAGAGAAAACTAGCTATTTCTAACACGGACGCAGAAGTCTTTTGGGGTCCTAAACGGAAAGCAAGTCCGTTAGCCACTTTTCGAAAGTTACTCTTTGAAAGTTTTCAACAAGTCTGAAACTATGGAATCTGCCAGAAGGCGCCTTTGATTAGAAAAACTTCAAATTTACCGATTTTTGAGCAAAACCAGCTAGATAGATTGTCAGGACTTGCGGGAGCTCTGAAATTTCATTTTGCGTTTGCCGTGTAGGGCAAGGAAGGAGCGGTGGAGAGGGGGGGGGGGGGAGGTCGGGTTTTAATTTATTCAAGTTTGCAATCGATACCTTGTTTAAGTGTCTAAAAGTAGAAAATATTCTAACCTTTAGCTCCTGGCCAGATGGTCTCCTCTTCAAGTATGATGTGCAGACTACCCCATCCAAGCAACAACCAATAGATCGATGTGAAGTCTGGAAGCAGATGATGTCTTCCTTCCAGCGCACTAATGCTCTCATTGGTCAGTACTTACTGTAAGTAAAAATAAAAATATGCATTTTGTGGTTCCAGGTGGAGGAACTTTGCGAATTGCCGACGACAGTGAACAGTTGAATCCATGCCGTCCTCAAGAACCTATAGGAGAATGTGGAGGGAAAGATTGTAAAGAGGAACTGGGCGAGGTAGATAATCTTAGGGTCAAATTTTATTGATTTTTCAAGATGAGCTTTTCTCAGATTTGTCTTGCCGGATCAGTCTGTGGTTGTCCAGTTGGTATGCGACGAGCATCTAACAAAGATGTTTGTCGAGCAGTGGAATCATGGAACGTACCTCTTTGGGTTATCCGAAAAGATTACAAGAATCTTGTCTTCAATGAGTCTTTCGCTAACCCGATGGATACCGTGTACAGGGTGGGTAGGATTACTGTAGGGTTACTGTATTCGGAAGAATATTCTCTAATTTAAAAACGACTAGTACCTTATTTTTTAGTCATACGTTCACGATTATGAAGATGGAATTGGTAAATGCTATCCTCATACTACTCTCAAAAATGCATTCGTAGCCGCAGATGTAAACGAAATCATCAATCCTAGGGTAGGTTCCTCTTCCTTTTCCTTTTCATTCACTTCCTCCACCTTTCCTTTTATTGTTATTTTCGTCAGATGATGAACGCTAGCTGGGAAAGTGGCCTACTGTTCAATACCACTGTTCACTTCCGTAAAGGTAAATTTTCGAAATTTGGTAACTTGGGTAACTCAACTTTTCCTTTAGGAGCTGTAAGAATCCCATCTGATGTCTATTACGAGCTAATTCGCTATATCATTGATAAAAATGGCTACGAAGTTGGTGACAGTGGACTGTACCTCAACGAGTACCAGCCGAACCCTTATAAGCCATGCTTCAAGGTTGGAAAGTTGCCAGCTACCGTATCCTGACCATTTTTCCAAATAAAAATTCTAGAATGATTGTCACCCGAAAGGTATCTGTATCGATGTGAATAATCGCTCGTATCGATGCGAATGTGGAGCAGGATTCCGTGAACTCGATCCATCGGATCCTGGAAAGAAATGCATACCAACATATGGTTTTAATGAATGCGAAAGGAAGGTATGTTTTTTACATTCTTAGTCCCAAAATATCCTGCAAAAAATTACTCCTAGGAGGATAATGAGTGCTCTGAGAATGCACGTTGCATTGATCTTGAACATTTGTACAAATGCGAATGTCTTCCATCATATTCGGATGCTTCTCCACCTGGAGCCGTCCCTGGTAAGCGCTTCTTAAATTATAACTAATTTTTATGGGGCTAGGAAGTGCCAATTGTAGGCTCGGTCTGTGTGCTGGATTACTGTAGTGATGTGAACTTTTGCCCAACAAATACCACTTGTAAGAATATGGAACAACAAGCAGAATGTCGATGTGATCCTGGTTTCACTGATATCAGGTTAGTTAGTGCCCGAAAGCCAGACGTAATAATTCAAGTCTACAAAATATCAAAATTTTCGCTCCAAAGAGTGCAAAACTTGACAAACCCACTATTATTATAGTTTGTCTCCAAAAAAATCTGACAGTTGTTCCTGGCAAGCAACACTTTTCTAAATGTATCTCGTGGGTTCAAAAGCACCATTTGCTTCACCAGTACTGAAGATAACACCGGTAATTTGCCAATAAGTGGTATTACTGTAAAATCTACCAAGTCATTAGCTTGTACGATCAGCCTACTATCTGAGTGAATTTTCGAAACTGAATATCTTGAGATCTCAATAGTAACCAAGTTAGATACTGTAAAAACGTCAAAATGCTTTGATCGAAATTTGTGAAAAAAGATTAACGTGTATTTATCGCATATATATAAATTTCATATTGAACATTTTGGAACTTTGTGAAGAAAATTACTGTTTTATTTTTTTCTGAAGTGTAATTTTAGCTTCGAAAGCGAAAACATGCTTTGAAATATTTTGTCTGGTGCCTCTAGCCTAGAGCGTTTTTCTGCTTTGGAAAATTTTACCGTAACCATACCGTACGTCAGGATTCAATGAGTTTTGTATCGACACGTCGAAACAGCTACCCAATTCCCTGAAAGCGGTTTTTGACATTGAGTTGCAAAAAATAGAGATTGAAACCGAATGGGTAATATGTTTTTTCGAAAGTTTTTCTTTATCCAGAAAAAGTTGGAGGGTTGCCAAAAACTGCGTAAAATGGTATTTCATTTAAGTTTTGCTGCCTAATTCCGCTAATGCCACACTTGGGTTTTGGAACGCTCTAGAACTTCTTGATTTTCCAGAAAAAGTGATCGACGTAATGCGCTTGGACTTGGCGACGATACGTTCTGTATGCATGTGAGAGATGTCAACGAATGTGCACTCGGGCTGACGAATTGCTCCGGGGTGGCCGAATGCATCGACAGACCAATTGGATATACATGCAAGTGTCCCGACGGCTACATCGATGGAAACCCAGATGAGCCTGGACGAGTTTGCGGAGCCCTGCTGTGCGATCTTTGCAACTCACACGGCGATTGTGTCCATAATGCGCGAACAAACAATATTACCTGCGTTTGCACTGAAGGATGGAGTGGGGAATTCTGTCAGGTAAAAAAAACCTCTAAAGGATTCGCTGACCTTTCTAGTGGTTTTTTTTTCAGGTTGCCCCCTCAAATGCCTCTTTGGTACTGCTCATCCTGCTCGCTCTGCTCTTCCTTCTGCTCACTCTTTGTTGTTTGCTCTATTTCTGCACGAAATGTCATTGCTTCAAGGGAAGGGGTGTAGCCGGAGGAGCTCCGTTTGTCTATAGGTGGGTAACAGAAGTAAATCACATAAAAAATTACAGTATGACATTTTTTAGGCGAGGCGGTGCATGGCCATGGTCTACCCTAGAAGGATCTTCATCCTCGGAAAGTGGTGCCGAATTTTCAGCTCTCAGCGCAGCTGGTCATGAATACTATCCTGAAATAGGAATACCAAGAGCAAAACTGAAGGTAACAATAATCACACTATTTTACAAATTTTTTATTTTATAGAAGATAATTACAGTAACCTTAGGACAAACAGTTTAGAACTAATAGATCTGGGAAATAGAACTATAAATTGCAGGCTGGTGCAGGTGCTCTGGATACGACCGCAAAAAGCATGGATGTTGCAAGATTAGACCAGTATCTCTCCGAAGGTAAAAAATATTTTTTTGGAGTGATTCCAAAATATAAAATATGCAAGCTTGATATTTTTGAGAACTCCCTTTCATCCCTTTGAGAGTGATTTTAGGCCTTCTCCTGGAGTCCTTAATAGGGAAAAAGAGCCTAGAATAATTTGTGGAAAAATCAATTCGACAAAAATTGTAAAACTCAAACTAGGCATGCGGCTTATGATGTTCGCTATGCTAAACAGGGCCATTTCTATAAAATAATGATCAGGCCGGCACTTAAAATTGTTTCATACCTTAATGTCATCCTGTGAAGTATCACATTTTTTGAGCTGATGCCCCCCATTACCTTTTTCCATGCTTTCCACTTGTCCATTGGATTACAAAACGACGATAACCTTTACCTTGAAGGAGCTGTTCGCATACCTCGAGCTCATCTGGTGGGAAGTGCAGCACGTCTAAATGATTCGTCGGATAGTATGTCAAGCGCTTCATCGGAATATACTATCAAGGAAGAAGTTGAGCGAAAGGTAAGTGATAATTTTACTTAAGTGAGATTTTTTTTAAATGTGCAAGAAAATCCGTTTTTGAGTTTGGTTGAACGCAAAGAATTTTGAATGGACGTGGCGCGTATAGCTTTAAGCCAATCGTCAATATGATGGGCGGAGCGCGCCTGCAAAGTGTCTCCGCCCATCTAGGCGGCGATTGGCTAGTTGATCGCGCGGCTACGCCCATCTATGTACCGTACTTAGCTTCGAAAAAAAAAGACGAAAAAGTGACTTTTAGCATTTTGAAACCCTGAGCGCGTTCTTGAATTATCCAGGTGATCCAAGAGTGAGTAATTCTAGTCAGCTCGCTGAGATACATTTTTCAGTCAGTCTAAGGAATTTATGAATTTATTACACATTTAGGTCATTACTGATGTCACAACAAAAGAAATAAAGACGACTACCACAACGGATAGCTCTGGCAACATACTCACTACGAGAGCTGAATCATACGTGTATCCTTCCGAGCATACCGTTTCCCATGGAGAAAACGCAAGCGCGGTGCGTTCTTCTCCTCTTCGTTCCCTTCTTTTCTACCTTCTTGCAATCATCTTTTCTGAAAATCAATTCTTAGGCTGCACATTCATCTTCCTATGCGGCTGAATCGTCTTATGCGGCGAGAAATGAGTCCGCCTACGCTGCAAGAAACTCTGAATATTCGAATGCTGCTTCTTTGAATGAGGTGAGGGATTTTGAAGCGAATTTTTGTGGAAGGGCTTCATCAAAGAATTTTTCTAGAAAACTTATTTTGTTGAGTGTTTTCATTCATCTTTCTCAAGAGACCTATTTTAGCGAAGCTTCCACCATTCTGGAGCTGAAGAACGTGAACGAGGAGAAAGTGTTGCCGAATTTTCTATTGGACGAGTAAAGTCAAAAGATTATGCCGCTCGGGACCGTGAGCTCGTTGAGTACTCATCGGTGAGAAAATATTTTGACTTTGAAAAAATTAGGTATCATCATTTTTCATTGCAGGAACGTGATGTAGCTCAATCAGATTTAGAAGAGCACGAAACAGGCGATGTTCGTACTCGCGTCACTCACTCGCACCACTATGAGCCGATTAGAAACGGCGAATCCGAACGACTTCGAACTGAGGTGAGGTTTACTTAGTCTTTAACAAGGCTGTGTTCAGAGCTGCCCGTGACAGCCTCGTGCTGGCGCCGTGCCGGAGAGTCGATCATCCATCAACATGAGGCGCATCTATATGGTGGCACGGCACTAATTTCGCCCTGGCACAGCGAAGAGCGAAAAAGTGTCTTTTTTGAGAGTTTTCAAATATTCGCCTGGAAATCTAAAAAATATTACCGTATTTCTACCACCCAGAATAGCGCTGGCGCCACGCCGGAACATAGCTGGCACCGCACTAAAACGCTGTTGGCCCAGCGCTGGCACATATGCTTTTGGACGTTCCCTAACCCTCTTCCGCACTACCCTAGCTTCCAGTCATGGCAATATCCCGTTTTCCAGGTCGTAACCACTCAATCTTCTACAACCGTCAGCAAGCACTGACAAACAGCAGCTCTTCCGTCAGTCATCCAACGCTAAAGTGACTGAAATGTGCCGGGTTAAATGTGAATCTGCATTTATTTTGTGACTTAGTAGCCCATATACGGTTGCCATTCCTATGTTCTTTTGTAAGTTTGAACTGCCGAGGCCTTGCCGCTCTCGCTACTACTTTGCTCACTGCTCTGCCACAACTGTTGCGTTCCACTCTCTCTGTTCTTATGCCTTTCCTATTGTGATAATTCCCTGTTGTACATTGCGTGAAAAACTGATTCGGTGACTATAATATATCCTCATTGTGATTCGTATCTAATAAACTCTTCACCACTATATGTTGAAGTATTGGAAAAAGACTGAACTTGAAATCAATTTAGCATTGCAGAACGATGGAAAAGATTGGGTACTGTGAATCTAGGATAGGAAAAGTTATGGGCAATAAAAGAGAATTTAGCCAAGCACCGTTGTCTGTTAGCCGTCAAAAGCCGAAGTCCTAAGGCTTATAAAGCGGATTTAGAAGGCCTCAACCATGTAATTGCTCAAAGCATCGCTTATGATCGCTTATGATCCGGAACTATTCACTTTTACTTTCATCCAAACCGTACCATTCCGAGTGGAGCAGTCAGCGCAGCGTACTCGACGCTGGTTGGTCCGTACGAAAACGGTACAGTACGGGCGAAATTCAGAATTGAGATTTTATGTCACGAATAAATCATACAATGACCTTCAAGACAATGGGTAGGTTAGCAAATTTTCCCAATCATACATAAGTGGGTACCCAGATATGCCTGCACACTGATATCTTTTTTGCAATTTTGTAGAGATTGCGTAAGCTTAAAATGAAACTGCAAGCTTTTATATATTAAACGTAACTGTAAAGTCGGTGAAGGGGAGGGGCAAAAGTTTTTTCGATAGAGGCGCTTGGAGTTAGCTACGCAGTCAGATGATTTTTTTTGGCTCTTTTCAAAATTTTTGGAGACCACCCGAATTTCTAGAATAAGAGGGCGTGAGAGGCAGCGCTGATTTGAACTTTGAAGATTTTGAAAAATTATTTGTTATTTACAACTATAGACATAAATCACTACCTGAACTCGAAGAAAAATTCTGAACTGCTTCACGCTTACATATCAAGATGACTATATTACACTTCTTGAGTACAGAAGAGTTGAAGGGAAAGTTTAATTGTTGTTATGCTTTTAGGACCTGCAAAAAGGAAAAAAACTGATTAAACCTAGAAATGAGTTTAACTTCGCGTTGTGAGGAAAGCAGAGCATCCGCATTTTGAAGCGATCGGTTCACATTTGTTAGGAAAGTTTATTTGCGCGATAATTTTAATTTCTTCATAGCAATGAAATGATTGCTATGACAAATGTCAAGAAGTGATTCATATCATTTTGAGGTGCATTTTGTAATGTCTAATGCCTGAGTCAATTGCGAATTCCTTCTAAAGGAAATAATGAATCAACGTTTTTCGCTGATGTAAAAGGACTGCCATTTGTTGCTCTTTGGATTTCCCCCAATAAAGACTTCCACTCGTCTCTTCGCAACAGAAAGGCCACTTTGAGGCAAATGCCATCCCTTATTAACTCAGCTTCAGCAGCCAATTAGAATCATCCCCGCTAAGACAACCACACTACGGTACAGTCATCTTCCTAATCTCAATTTACCCCATAATACGCGTCGTCTTTATTGTGTTTTGCACATGTATCAAAAGCTTTCAGTATGTGGTTTTTTTGATACGTAAAAAAGTAAAATTACGAAAAAGACTACAGAAGAGTTATCCTAAAATAATCAGTCCCTTCGACTAGCGACATCCAGAAAGGCACGAGGAATAGGTGATGTATATTTTACACGTATAGAGATGCAAACCGACGCAAGTTACACGTTCTATACAGACTCCGTCGAATCTTCAGAGAAATTCAAGCCGCCTAATAAATTTTCATCAACAGAAAGCAAATTGTGGAATAATATGATTATTGAGAGCAAATGCAGCGGTATCATCAACGGAAAAATGGAATACGATGACTGTTGCCTGCCTAAAGTGCGCAAGTGTCGCTACAAGACAGTGTCTTTATCCTCCACAAATATCCTCAGTCTCAGATTGCTACTCATAAATGTCAGGACATTGCCAGTAAGAGACAGAGATCACAAAAATCCTCTTCCTAGGTTCTAGCTCATGCCGATTTTGACCTCTCGCCTATCGATGTTCTAGAATGAGCGCTACCAAACTGGGAAATGAAACATCACAGCGGTTATTATACTTCTATGAATAAGTGGTTTCCCATTTTGTTTCTAGTTGTCATTAAGGCTGCCAGCTCTTTTGGTCTACTGGAAAACAAAATGAACAAGAAGATTCTCTCACGACTGTTGCTATCTGTACTATTTCCGACACTGGGCGCAGTTCGAACAGGAACTCATGTGGAACGAGGATATGGATTGCTTGGAAGAGGAAGACAGGAAAGTGGAAGAAAATCTGGAGCAGAAATGCACGATGGAGAGCACTCTCATGCTAAAAGAGCAGTATGGGGAGGTCAGCACCTTTTTCTAAGCGTTTCTCCAGAGCCCAGTTTGTCAGAACCAAGGGCTAGCTAGACCCTTGACTGTGGGTGTAGCGGTGTTAAGGTTTATCTACTATAAAAGTTGAGGCCGACGTACGCAGTATATGCTAAAAACCTTTACGCACTTGTGCCTATGCAGCGCATGTCGCATGCGCTACGTAGGCTCCGCAGCTGACTCAACCCTAAGGCCCCGGGCAGACTTCACGCGATTTGATCGTCGCGACTGAATCGCGAGGAGACAACTGTTACAATATCATTCCATGCAGATCAACTTGCATTCGGCTGTGATACTTTTCCAGACCGAAATTTTTGAATGTGAAATGAAAATGAATGGAAATCTTGGCGATTTGGTCGCGACGATTAAGTCGCGTGAAGTCTGACCGGGGCCTAAGACAGACTATCTAAAGTTTATCATACAAAGACATATATACCAGCGGGGGAATTTGAGGGGAGGAATTGAGATCTAGTAGCCAGTCATGCATATTATGACTCTCCACTCATTGTATACCTACTCCGTTTTACAACATAACCGTCGCGTACCAAAGGTACTGATAACAAGATCCAGTAAACAACGATTGCATGGGCCTGATGCAATGTTGCTTGCATGAATCATACATCCACAAGTTTTGTTTGCGAATAATGCAGTTTGAGGAATTGTCTAAACTGCATTTCTTTCAGTGCGATAAGCGCTGACTTTGGCCACATAAGATTGTTTCAGGCTGCCGCACTGACCGCAGCAGACTGCAACAGACTGCATGACCGCACTGACGGCAATGTCCGCACAAATCGCTGCGTCCTTTCGTAAAGGTGAAGAGGATAAATACCTGTAGCCCAAACAACTAACAACAATATATGCCTAGACCCAAAAGACAACACGAGCGAGAGTAAAACAGAATGTGCAATAACAAGAAGAATCAAAGCAAATTTGGGAAAATCAAAAACCTATAAAAGTTTGCGTTTGTTTCCCTACAAAAAGACTCATCCACGCGAAATCACCCATTTCACATGAAAAAGCTTTCGGAATGAGTAGCTGTTTACATTTTGCTCGTAATAGTCGGCATCGCTCGGTGAGTACCAATGCCATCATTATGCGAGAAGGAGTAAGGCCTAGATAGCAAAGCCAGTGCGAGCCTCTGCGAAGCAGAGGTGACGCACTGGTACTTGATAATCGCATCTATTGATTGAGCGTAAACCAAAATGTTAATCATTATTCACGGCCAAATTTTCGGCGAGATCGCCTGCATCAAACGCACACACACACACACACACACACACACACACACACACACACACACACACACACACACACACACACACACACACACACACACACACACACACACACACACACACACACACACACACACACACACACACACACACACACACACACACACACACACACACACACACACACACACACACACACACACACACACACACACACACACACACACACACACACACGCACACGCACACACACGCACACACACACACACACACTCCTCCTTCCGGTTCATATTTGGACTCTTGGCGTTGATGTAGAACGCTTCCAAGGTTTGCGCGCCAGGGGCTCGGGCTCGTACGCTATACAGACACTCCAACACTTATCTCGCAAGGAAAGCGTGTCTAGTCGAATTGGCGTTTCCAAATGAGACTCACACCACTTTGTAGCGCATCAAACGCTGATTCCAAATCTGCTTTCATTATCTGCCAAGCGCCTCTGTTTTTGGAACGAAAAATGAATGCAGAATTTAGGTAAAAACAATTGTTACAATCTTTCTAGCGCTCAAATAAAGCACTGTTAAGTATTTGAATATTAGACAAAATGTATCCATTGCTTGAACTGCTCTGATACTCGACACAGAACAAATTGAGCAAATTGGGCGGTTTTGCATTAGTTTCGCGTTCAATTTCTCGACTCGAAAAACGCCCATAAGTCACGAAATACGGTGTCTGTTCAACGGATAGCTCATTTGAGATATGTTCAACCCAACCAGAGGTTCTTTAACGGGGCAGCAAAGAGGGCGTCCTGTTTCTCCGATATACGTATAACTACACGATAAACATGTGTGAGATAGATAGCTCCGGAGACCATGTCACCCTCTGCCAAATGAACGACGCACGCTGGAGTTAGGCATGTAGGTCGTAGATCAATTTCGAACCACAGCAATCAACCAATCTCACGTATGTTTTTGACTTTCTAGGCTTCAACGAACGCAGTCTCGCCGAAACGTTGGACGTGAACAAAGAGTGACAACATCTTGGTCTACGCCCAATCACTTGATGCTAGAATAATTTTAAGTCTCGTTTTTGTGACTAAACAATCATAACTTATAATAACGGGCTAAGGGTGTTTACGTGACTGTGTGTGTGTGTGTGTGTGTGTGTGTGTGTGTGTGCGTGTGTGTGCGTGTGCGTGTGTGTGTGTGTGTGTGTGTGTGTGTGTGTGTGTGTGTGTGTGTGTGTGTGTGTGTGTGTGTGTGTGTGTGTGTGTGTGTGTGTGTGTGTGTGTGTGTGTGTGTGTGTGTGTGTGTGTGTGTGTGTGTGTGTGTGTGTGTGTGTGTGTGTGTGTGTGTGTGTGTGTGTGTGTGTGTGTGTGTGTGTGTGTGTGTGTGTGTGTGTGTGTGTGTGTGTGTGTGTGTGTGTGTGTGTGTGTGTGTGTGTGTGTGTGTGTGTGTGTGTGTGTGTGTGTCTGTAACGAAATTCGTAGGGAGAGTTCCAGCCAACCTCTTGAGCCCAAATCTTGCATAGCACATCCTAGTAGCAAGAAAGTCCATTGTGCAAAAGCACAAGCTGATCCGATAAGTGGATCCCCTGGAAATTGCACGTGAAACGGGTCCACTTTGCATTTAGCTCACAAAATTGGGTCCGTAATTCCACTTTTTGCAGAGTGGTGGGTGTTTATGGCAAGTAAATGTGCAAGCCATGAACTTATGTCCAAATAAGTGGCCAAAAGTCCATTACTTTACAAAAACGGGGCCAAAAAGTATTGCTTGCGTAAATGGTCAATTTGCTAAGGTTCTAGAAAAGCATTTGAGAAGATTTTCGCACATAGATGTAGCTCACGGTGACTATTGCCTTTATGGCGACTATCAAACCATGACAAATTCAAAAATCTATTCAAATTTGCCTTTATCTTCCTGCGAAAAGTTTTTTCCATGCTGAATCACCGATCTCACGTGAAAAAGCTTTCTAAATGAGTAGTTGTTTACATTTCATTCGTGGTAGTCGGCATAGCACGGTGAGTTCCAGTGCCACGATTTTACGAGAATGAGTAAGGCACATAGATAGTGGAGCCAGTGCGAGCCTCTGCGAAGCGGAGGTGACGCACTGGTAATCTTGATGCTATCAGATAAATGTTTCCTAGCTAGCAAAGTTGAGGAACCTAATTGCTGCCTTACTTTCTATCATGCTCTCCAGTCAAGTCTTTTGGTGCTGATGGGGAGCATTACTTATTTGCACTACCATCTTAATGTTGATATATACCATCATATTGGCAAGTTGATGAGCATGCAAACTTTGCAATTCTGTTTAGAATAAGGCTTCGCAGCTAGGGACGACAGAATTTGAATTGGCATTTTGAGCTAATTCCGAATATACGTGTCGTTTTTCAAAGACCCGATCTTAGTTAGGTGCTTTTCTCTCGTTATGTCATCCATGAAAACTTCAGTATTGTTCCCAATTTAACTAGAGTGTCAAGAAATTCCAACCTTGTTAACAATTACTTTTGCTACGAAGCGAGCCCTCTAGCTGAGATGCCGGGTGGTTGAAATTGGTGAGTTTCACTACATCGCAAGAAAAGCTCGTTGAGTGGGTAATTCTAGACAGTACGCATTAACATCCTTGCGGTGAGGTGATCGACGTCTCCAATGATGAAAAGCACCGGCGGCGTTTTCCGGTGGCCCATTCATAACGGAGGAGACCGCTCCCCTTGTTGCAGGGATGTTAATGCATACGGGCCTTGATATGTTTATGAACGGTGATAAATCCGTAACCTGCATCAACACTTCCCTATGCCAATCGCTAGTCCTGGAGCTCATTTCTGGCAAAACTGGATGAAATCGATGAATGTAATCATTGTAATCAGCATGCTCATCTCCCCCCCCCCCTCCTCCTGCGCCAACTGCAAGCTCCATTGCTTAGACTTTGCAAAAATTGATAAAATCCATATCGTTCGATAACGACATGTAGCCTTACGACACCCGCCCGGCCCTAAAATGCAGGTGTGCAGAGTTTGGTTCGAATCGGTTCACAAATGGAATTTTCTTTCACGAACACACAGACACAAACCGATAAACAAACAAGCAGACAGGTGGACAGATAAACATTCAGCTTGATGAAGACTGGATGAAAACCCTGCTTTCGTAAAAAACAAGCACTGATTCAAAGCTCGTAGAGCTACATTGGAAACATGGAAGAGCTATTTAATTTCCTAAGCAGAGCGAACTCCCAGAGGCGTCAATCGCAAAAGTTTTTCTCTGGCAGTAACGCCTCTTTGTTTTCAATGAAGCTCTGCTTTAGACCAGTGCTCTCTTTGTAAAAGCAGATTTTCATGAACTTTGGAAACTCTTCAGACTGCTAAGGCCAATTTTTGGCCAAAAGGTGCTCCAAATTGAGTCAAGTTGATGGTAGATTTGAGGCAGCCCAAGTAATGCTTCTTCTGTCACATGCGCAAGCCGCCACCAAATGTTCGGATAGTATAATCTCTTTATAGGAGCACGGATCAGCCAATTGCGTATCGGCAAGCTAATGATTAAACTAATTTTTGCGGCCGTTTGGCGTTCAAGCAAATTTGCTCCGTAAAATCTCCTTTTTTGGAGTTTGATGATGCTGGCTGTAATGCATATCTCAAGGATTAGAAGTGCAGGTGTAGTCATACTAAGAGGTGACCAGCTCTTCAAAGACGTTCAGCAGAAAGTGGCTGCAAGTTTTGATCTACCTCGATTTTGCCGTTTTCATTCTTCTCAGAGCCCCTTTCTGTGTGCATAAAACTGCAAAATTTTTGATATAGTGTGGTTTGCACGTAATTCAGAAATTTTGATTTATTCCAGCGAAACAAAGTAGAATATAGCAGAATTGCAGAGTAGTTGGAAAGTTTTGGCCAGCACTGTACAGAATTATTCACTACACAAAAAGCGGCTTTGTAATCCATTACCTGAAAATTATCGATCGTCTGCAAAGATTTACTGACGTACCAACAAATATGATTGTCACTGTCCATTGAGCGCAACAAATAAAGGATTCAATTCATTTATGAGTGAATTGAAAAAGTTCTTGTTTTTTAGAATTGCAACAGTGAACAAAGCATGATTACAGATGCAAGATCAGATTTTTGTTTATCATAGAAGCCGGGGAAGGCGGCTCTAATACTTTTGTCATATCCTCTAGAATCAAGCTGTTATAATACTGTGAAGGTACTAGAAAATCTAATGATCTTCATTGCAATGAAAGTTGACGTCAGGGGATTGAAATGGGGGGGGGGTGACTGCATGTAAGACTTACTTTTTTACCACTTATCCCCTACTAAAAAAAATAGTCTGTTCTCCTTGAACCATCTTTACTTAAACGATGTTTGAATGGAAGCCTCATGCATTCAGGACGAGCGTTCCAGCATGCTGGAAGAGACTACTACTGGGACGAGCATCCAGGGCAATGCGATGATCAAACAATTTGTGCAGTATCGATTGAGGAATTGAGAAATGTAAGTTCGATTCGCCAGGGTTTGGAAACTTCGACAGTCTAGTTGAGGTTAGAATTACGCAGTATAGTTTAGTGAGATAGAGTTACTGTAGTGTAGTTTTTTTGCTTAGTGTAGTGGTTGTCCTGTACTTTACATTACTGGCTGATGGTCACGGTTCGACTTTACCTTCGGCCTAATTTTTGCACCAAATATTCTGCTGAAGTTCAGCTTCAATCTGCCCTTCTCTGGCATACGACAAACCGGCAGAAGCATTACGTCGCATAAACTGTTATAACATGTGCCATAAAGTAAACGTCGCATAAACTGTTCAGACATGTGCCATGAAGTAACTCGACTAGAAGCTAGGCCGTCCCTTGGAAGGGACGCGCATTCCAGCCCGGCAAATGCGAATAGTGGTTGAGAACGCTTTCTCGAGGGTGAAAAGGAATAACTGAAGCGATTAATTCGAGAACCAAAACCCAAGGCATCGCAGACTTTTCCTCTAACTACCATCAATATGGGTGTAATATAGTTGATGGTGGTGCATGATCAGCGATCCTATGATGAGCATTAAATAAGCTGGTAAACAAGTCCCACGAGTGATCACCGCCCACTTACCATAAGGACGATGAAGATGACGCGTTTTGGCAGGAGCTCAATAACCACGTCAGTTCAGTTTCACAGGATGAGATACTCCTGCTGGGAAAGCATAACAAATACTTGGGAGAAAGGCGGGAAGAAGCCAGAAACGCCACGGAGGCCACGGAACATGTCATGAAGAAGGTGAGTGCATGAATTCGAAGTCAGCCTATGATTTGGTCTCGGCGAGTGCTATAACAAAAAGAATGACCACCTCATTACATATGCGAGTGTGAACCAACGAATCCAAATAGGATTCCGGCTACACGACAATATGACCTCAAAAACGCAAAGAACTCGAACTCATCTTCGGCTGGAGCTGCATACATACCTCACCACAGAGGATGCTTGTCAAATTCAGAATTTTAATGGAAGGACATATCGAGAACCAAACAGGGCTGCATCTAACGGAGAGACTGAAGAACAAAGCAAGCACTGCTAAATTTCCCGCGTCTGAAGCGACCCACAACGCTCCTTGGCAAACTTTAAAGATCGAATCCACCGACTAGTACACAATGATCGGGAACTATAATCCAGGAAAAAGAAGGATCAATTAAGAACCGTGGTGGAATGACGAAGCGCGAAGATTCGTATAGGAGAAGAGGGATGCATATCGATGGCATGATACAAATCGGAGTTTCATCGTTAGATATGCCAACAAGCCAAACACGCTGCGAAGCTTTTCTGAAGAGGGTTAAGCAGCTATACATAAGACGCTCAGGATCTGGAGTCTCGCGAGAAAGCACGTGAGTTATACCGGATATCGGATAGTAAGAAGAAGAGCGGTGTTTATATAAGACATGGAGCACTTCCTCCATATCAAAAACAACCAGGTGATCTTAAGAAAACCAGTTGAGCATCACCGGAAGATGGAGCAATGATGGCCACTAGTGGCGTACCCAGGTTCCGTTCGGGGGGAGAGCAACAAAAAACTTTTCAGGATGAAAGTGTGTGGCGTAAGCCACGCACTAAAATATTTTTTGAGATGCTTTCCAAACTTCTGGCGAGGCCTCGGAACTTTAGGAGAAGGGGTGTGGTACAAAGCTAATCTTAATTTAAAAAAAATTCAAACCCACACAATAGTCGGCCGCCTCAACGTGGCGTGGGGGTGACAGTGGGTGTCGAACTGCCATGCATAGTCAAGCGTATACTCTAATAGGGCCTCAAGAGCTGTGAAAGAGTTCGACTCCGGTTTCGGCCGGATGTCTGGTTAACAGCGGCCAGGCCAGCCCCCGCCGTGTGTTCTCTGGTCGCTAAGCGGTTCCCCCGCTCCACACCCGGGTCGCGATTGCTCCGTGGAAATCAAGAGTAGGCCTAGTAAATTAAATCTGCTCTTGTGGAGAAACCTTCTATTACTCGGTCAGCAAAAAGAAACAGAAAAAACCATCGTACCTCGGATCCCGCTTACGGCACCGGGTGGTAGCAAGAACGATGTCAGGGTACTCACTATCGGACGAAGATGGGACTTCGCACTCTTGCCGATGTAAAATGGGATTTAGCGCCAAGAACCTCTACACTAGCCTCTTCCTCACTGAACCAGTGATGCCCGTTGTTTCCAATGGAGAAGTACCACCACAAATTCTACCTGCTAATGTGCGCACCGCGATTCAGACCATGAAGACGTCCATGGCTTTAGAAGCAGACCATCTTTCCGTCGAATTTTTGCGAGACGGGGCAACGTCTGCACAAGATTCTCTTGTCGCATCTGACATCTCAGCCTCCAAAAGAAAAGATTTCCGACCAATGTAGAACGTTAAAAACCGTCCTTCTCTTCAAGAAAGGTGAACGGGAGCTTCAGGACTATTGCCCAATATGCCTGCTAAGTGTGCCGTACAAGCTTTTCACAAAGATTATCTTCGCTCGCATATCTAAAACTGGATGGAGCCCAGCTTTAAGAGCAAGCTAAATTTTACAAACGACTCAGCTGCATGGACCACATCCAGATGGTTTTTGGGTCATAAAAGTCTGCCGGGATACCTACTGCCTCTCGTCCTAACCTTCTTCGACTACAAGGAAGCCTTTGACAGCGTCGCAACCAATGCCATCCTGTCAGCGCTAGTCAATCAAGAGGTTGGCGTGAGAACGTGGGAACTCTAGTCGACCGCTACAAGGACTGTACAACGACGATGCGGCTTTTCCATCGCCCCCTGACCATACATTGAGAAGGGGGTCCAACAAGGCGACACAAACGCGCCAAAGCAGTTCACCGCGTCTTTGCAGCGCATGATGAAGCCACTGGACTGGGAGGAGAAATGCATACGAGTTGATGGGAGATACCCTCGAACTTTGTTTTCGAACGACATCGTTCTCCTCGAGCAATATCACTGAAGCACAGACGATGGTAGGGAACTAGACGAAGTAGGGAAGAAGATTGGATTGCGGGTGAATCGGAAGAAGACCAGTTTATGGAGAACGCCCTTTGCGAAAATGTAAAAATGGAATTGGAAGGCACCTCTAACATGGAGACTTTCTTACGTGTATCTCGGACTTTCGATGAACATGGTGAACGATTTGAAGGCGGTGTCGAGGCAAGTCGGGGCGCATGGGTCTTTCGCTTGGAAATTGATGAGGAAGTCCTAACTAAGGCGATGCCCAAGGGGCAGCGCAAACTGTTCATTTACGGCTGAGGAATCCGTTCCGAAAACCCCGAGCCTGCGCCGTGACCGTAACCCGAAAACGACTTTTCTCAGCTTAACACTACGTTCGCGCCGGGACCCATCTTAAGTGTTACGGTCACGGCGCAGCCGCGGAGTGTTTGAAGACGGACTTCTCAGCCGTGAATGAACAATTTGCGCTGTAGTTTGTGCAGTGCCTTAGCTAGAACTTCCTTATCAATTTCCAGGCAAAAAATCCGTATGCTCAGATTTGCCCTGGACACTGCTTTCAAGGGTAGAACTTAACACGAGAAGAAAATCAGCCTGGGCTGCCTTCAGGTCCTTAAAAAAGCCACCGACCAACTGACGGACGCGGAACTTTGTGTCCACCTTTTCGACTCAACCGTTCTCCCGGCGCTCTGTTACGCAGCTGAGACTTGGGCCGACACTGTAGTAGCCACGTCGAAAGCTTTACGGATCACCCACAGAGCGCGAAATTAAGTTAAATGGCAATGCAATGTTGCTGATTCGCTAGTGAGAGAGACTCTCAAATGCTGAGTAAATGAAGGTGCTTCATTACTTTAATCACATCTACTACTTCAAGCCAAAGTTCGTGCTGTGACTTTAAAATTTTTGTCCGGCAGGCTCTCTCTGTAAACTTGATCAACTTGATTGAGTGATACTGTCTCTTATAGGCAAAAAACTACAAAGAAAGAGAAAGGCGACACGTATTTCTAAATGAAACAAACACAAACCAATCAACATCCTTGCAAACAGCAATGATATATCCTGAAGAAGATGTGCTAGAAGTAAGCTGATATCCTTCCAAAGCTCAACTGTATCACAGAACATTTGTTAAGCTTAAATACAGTAACGGTAGCAAGCCGCAAAGGTTTGCATGGTCATGTAGAAGAGACGAAGTATGCTGCAGAAGAGGATGCTGCTCTGAAGACGACTTCTCTTCTAGAAAATCTTTTTGGACAAAATTTGGAATAGTATGTGCGATAGTAGGGTAAGTGATGAGTATGTTTTGCACACTTGTTAACATCTGTATTTCACCAAAAATTCGGTATTTTTGCGCAGTTTACTCTGATGTTTTCATCACTTAAACATTAGTCACTGACTTAGGCGCGTTTGACAGACGCAGAGGCTTTGATAGATGAGGGAATGGTTATGGTCAGTAGTAGTTGTCGAGCCATATGTCCACCCATACGTCACCGCCTAGGAGGCAAAAGAGGGTGCTAGTAAAAAGAAAAAAATGGCAGCGAGCACTTTTTGGGAGCATAACCTCAGGATGCTTTTTTATTGTTAGATTTTCAATAGAAAAGTCAACTAATCCAAATCAATTTTGTCTATATAGTGTAATGACACTATATAGACAAAATCCAATGGTAATAATAAAGGCCATTGCCTCCTACTGCAGATGCGTAGGCGCGAATTACCAGCCACACAGAAGACAAAGCCGCCGATAGCTTGACGAAAGTCTATAGACTCGTCGCACGCAAAAACTGAGGACGTATCGGTGTCTCTCTAATCAAGCGCTCCTCTAATCTTTTACCATCTGCTGTCTCTCCTATGCACGAGCTATCTTGGTCGGACGCAACGGTGCCCACTTTTGCGTGTTGTAAATCGCCGGTACGCTCTAAATAAGTCTACTATTTCAGAGTTTCCTTTGGTATTTTGTGTGGCTGCTTTTGGGGCTGTTGGGGCATATATAGGAGCATGCGAGGTGAGTTACAGTTGAATAGACTTCCAGACTAACATAGTGCGCCTGCAAAAGAGGCAGCCCTTGCGCGTGAACGATTGCCGCAGAGCGAGAAGTTTCACTTGATTTCATTGTTTTCTTCGCCCGTTCTTCATTTTCAGGCATGCCCTGATCGACTATGAGTAGTTAAGTTGGACAGAATTTTTTGTTGTTTGAGTAGCCATTTGCATCTTATTTAGTACTAGCTGGCTTACCCGGCTCCGCCGTATGTTCCGAATAGAAAATTCCATTTCTTAACCGATCCGGACCAAACTTGGCACACATACACTTCGGGCCCCGGCGGGTGTCATAGGCTACTTTTCGTCATCGATCGATATCGATTTTATAGATTTTTTGCAGAATTTGAGCTACGGGGCTGGGAGTTGGCACAGGGGGGTAATCGAGCATGCTGATCACCCCCGTGGGGGTCATCAGCATGCTCGATTACACCCCTCTGCCAAATTCCAGCCCCGTAGCTCAAATTCCGCAAAAAATCGATAAAATCGATATCGATCGATGACGAAAAGTAGCCTATGACACCCGCCGGGGCCCGAAGTGTATGTGTGCCAAGTTTGGTCCCGATCGGTTCAGAAATGGAATTTTCTATTCGGAACATACGTACAGACAGACATACAGACAGACAGACCGACATACAGACAGACAGACAAACAGACATTCAGCTTTATATATAAGATTCGTAACCTAACCCATCCTTCCAACTCTTTTCATCAAACGTTTCTTTACCACGCCAGTGATTTTCTCCAAACTCGAGATACTCACCAGCAGTGTAACTCTGCTCACCGGAAAGTAATATTGTCTCAAATTAGTAATTTATGTGAGAAGGAACCTCGAATTGGATGAAGAAACCTTATAGCGTTGTAAACAAACGCTTTTTGATAGAAAAGGGATGAAAGGAAGGCTTACGCCACAAATAGTGAATGCGGTGCAGCTGTCAGGAGTTAGATTGAACTCGAACGACGAGATGACTGGTCAAAACAAAAGAAGCTTCCTAAATTACCTTCGATCGAAGCATACCGAAACAACATGACCTATAATAAAGCGCTAAGCGTGTCTTTTTGTGCGTGTATGTGTGTGTATGTCTGTCTGTAACAAAATTCATAGAGGGAGCTGGAGCCAAGCTATCGAGCTACATTTGCATAACATACCGTGCCGGCAATATGCACAAGAATGACCCGGTTCGATAACGGGTCCTTTAGAATTTGCGCTTCAAGCGGGCCCATGCGGCTTTTGGCGCGCAAAACTAGGTCACAAATTCAACTTTGTGCAAGATCCTGATTTGCCTGACAAATAGATCTGCGCTCCAAGAATTCTAGCTCTGCAAGTGCTTAAAAAGTTTGCTTTTCTGCGAAAACAGTGCCAAAAAGTAGTGATCGCGCAGAAAGTCGATTTGGAAGGTTTTACTTGAAAAACTGGGAAGACTTTTGCACAGAAATGTAGCCCAAAGTGACTATTATTCTTGTGAAGATTATCAAGCCAAAATAAATGCAGTAACCTATATAAATTCGCATTGTTCCTTGGCAAAAAAGCTTTCTTTCTCAAAATTACCGACCTTACATGGAGATGCTTCAAGAATGAACAATTATTTACAATTCATTTGTGATGTGCAGCTTAGCGCGGTGAGTTTCAAAATCATCATTATAGGAGCACGAGAAAAACATACGGATAACAAAGCGAAGCGGAAGTGACGCATTGGTGAACAATAAACGAAAAAAACCATCAAGTGGAACTCGCTCTGCGGCCATTGTTCATGCGCAAATCTGCCGCTTCTGCAGGGGTATTATATTTGGCGGAAAACCTACTCAATATATTAGGTCGTTCCGAAGGTTATGTCGCTTTTTTCAAACGTATGCCACATCTCATGGAACAAAGATGTGTAAAAAAATTCTGGTAGCATTTGATGCAGCATTTCATTCTCTTTCTAATGGTTATGAAGATGTTGCAATACAGTCAATGAGCTTCCAGAAAAGAGTCAAAATCTGCGACCTATGCTTTTTGAGATGGCCAAGTTTACAATTTTTTCTGAAATTATATAACAAACCTCAGAAGGAGTTTAAGTAATGGATGGATGGAGCAAACCCTACAGGAAACAGCACAACTTTTTTCTACTTTCCAGAGCTCGTCATAATTTTTGTACAGATTTTTTGATGGAACCACCAAATTTCAGCAGGCTCGTCTCAGACACAAGTGCATCAAACGCCAACAAGTCTCCGGATTCTGAAGCTTACAAAGATGGATTATGGTTTGACACCAATTTTACAAACCAAACGAGCATTCAGCGCCTCGGTTTAGCAACTTTCGAAAAATTCGGGTACACCTTGGGGTGCCTTGGAAAAGTTGAATCATGATGATTTTATCGCTTGATGAATCGGAAACAAAAAACGACCGCTAGAAAGAGGAGAAAAAGCTGCATTGAATGGCACCCGACTCGCTTGCCGGTTTTTGTTTTATGAGGTTTGACTTGACCGAATATGGAATTTGATGGCATCGAAAAATTGATTGTAGAAATTCTGAGAAGCGAACTGAGGAAAAGAAAAAATTACTCTGTGTTCTATAGTGTTTGTTTATTTACATGCCACTTGTGCTTTTACGGAGATTAGGTACAAAAATTTAGAAAAATAGCCGAACTTGACCATGGCAAAAAGCATGAGTCACAGATTTTGGTAATTTTTCGAGAGCTCATCAAACATCATGCAGTGTAATTAGAACCATTAGAAAGAGAATAAAACGCTGCATCGAATGCTCCTAAGATCTCTCGAAAATGTTGATTCCACGGATAGTGGCGTTCATTCGGAAAAAGCGACATTGCTTTCGGAACGACCTAATATATTGCATTTATTAGTGAGGGATGAGCAAACAATGAAGTACTTAGGTGTGCAAAGTTCCCGAGAGCCCGCCCCATATGGTGCTCCACTTCCAGTGTACCCAGTACATCCCGCATACGTGAGACATGGCCATCCTCTGTACTCTGCACAGCCCACGGGTATACCGTCACCTCAGACTCACAGTCAAGATCATCAACTTCTTTAGGCCATCCTGCGGAGCCCATAGATTCACGAGAACAACGAAGCCAGCACGCATTGCCTAAACAGAAGCGAGAAGTGAGATCAAGAGAAAGCGGAGAAAAAGAATCAACGATAAATGAGGAGCAAGAAGATCATTAAGCGAATACTGTTTGAAAAAATGTGTTGATCCTTCAACAAAGAGTTTTCGAACTATTTGCCGAATCAGCGGATGAGAAAGCTGACTGATAATTGCCAGACGAGAAAAGCACTTGCGCTTCACCTGATTTAAATTGTACAAAATATGCCCACAACTTCTTGGAAATCAAGAAAAACTTTCAAGCTTTGCACACATTTAATTTCCTCATTTTAATGTAATCATGATGTCTGCAAGCGTGCAGGCCTTTAGTGGTACGGGAGAGGAACGATTTGCAGTGAGTTATGAGTAAACAAAAGTCTAAAACGAAGAGAACAGCAAGGTCAGAAGTCATCTGCCATGGATCTGTAAGGAATCAGTTACTGATGTTATTATGGTTTGATACTCGCCATAAGGACAAAACCAGTTTTGAGTTACATGTCTGAGCAGAAATTTCTGCATATCCTTGGATCGAACATTGTCAAACCTATCATATAAGCAAATATTTCTTTTCGGCTGCAATTTTGCGTAGAAATGCACCTTTTGCTTACTTTTTGGGCTGAAGTCAATGGTGTTTGGATTTACTTGTTGAACAAATCCACGATTTTGCGAAAAATCCTATTACCGACCAACTTGGGCCAAAACTGCATGGATCGTATGAGGAACAGTTTCCAATGGTTTCCTTCAGTGGATCGGCCCGGCTCATGCTTTTGCACAATTTATCTACACGCAGATAGGGTGCTATGACCAAAATTCTAGCTCAAAAGTTGCTGCAACTCGCTCTGTGAATTTCGTGACAGACAGATATTCGGCCGACAAACAGACGTAAACAACTTTTAGCCCTTTATTATAAAAGCATGATGTGTGTTGTGTATGTGTTGTGTGTGTGTTGTGTGTGTTGTGTGTGTGGTTGTATGTGTTGTGTGTATGTGTGTATGTGTGTATGTGTTGTGTATGTTTGCATGTGTGTATGTGTGTATGTGTTGTGTATGTGTGTATGTGTTGTGTATGTGTGTATGTGTGTATGTGTTGTGTATGTCTGTATGTGTGTGTATGTGTTGTGTATGTGTGTATGTGTGTATGTGTTGTGTATGTGTGTATGTGTTGTGTATGTGTGTGTGTTGTGTGTGTGTGCATGTGTGTATGTGTGTATGTGTTGTGTATGTGTGTATGTGTGTATGTGTGTATGTGTTGTGTATGTGTGTATGTGTGTATGTGTTATGTATGTGTGCATGTGTGAATGTGTTGTGTATGTGTGTATGTGTGTATGTGTGTATGTGTTATGTGAGTATGTGTGTATGTGTGTATGTGTGTATGTGTGTGTTTGTGTGTGTGTCGAAAAATTTATATCTCAATCGACCTGGACCAATCGACCTGGTGTGTATGTGAGTATGTGTGTATGTGTGTATGTGTGTATGTTTGTGTGTTTGTGTGTGTGTGTCGAAAAATTTATATCTCAATCGACCTGGACCAAGCTTTGTGTACGTAGTTACCTACAAAAAGTATAACCAAACACCACAAAGCAGCTAGATTACCCAGCTTCGCCCGCTACTGTTAGTACACTATGATAACACCTTACCTGTGGCGTAACCAGGATTTCCGTCCGGTTGAGGGAGGAGAGGGCGACAAAAAATCTTTTCTGATGAAGGTGAGTGGCCTTAGCCACGCACCCAAAAAAATTTTTGGTATGCTTCTCAGAATTCTCGCGACCCATAACCCGGAAGTTTTGGAATAAGGGGGGAGGGGCGTGGCGTCAACCACGCCCCAGAAATTTTTTTGTAAGGCTAGACTGAATTTTCAAAAAATCTTTCGAAGGGGGTTCTTGAAAAAGGGGGCTTAGAGGCAGCCATACCCCCGAAAAAAATTTTTACAAGTCTATTTTGAATTTTTGAAAATTTTAAAATTTTTCAATTATCTACAAGAATAAATAAGCCACGTGCACATTTTTATAACCATGTAAGTAAATTTTGAAAAATTTACCCATTCTCGGGAGGGACGCGCCCGCCTCCTCCCCCCCCCCTCAGTCCACCACTGGGTGAAGAGGGAAGTGAGCCTTAAATCGAAATGCCCTGACAAGCTACACATACCATTCGAAAGCTGAGGTCATGGAGAATCGAATAACGCCCGACTTTTTCCCAGATATTTTGGGCCAGGAAATATGAGCGATTTTACTTGGAAATACATCATCAGCTGAGCCATGATTAACGAGAGCCCAGACAAGAGCGCAATCCCGTGATCTATCAAACTAGAATGTGGTCCGATCTAGCAAGTTTGGCCGTGTCGGGCACGGCAGTTGGGCAGGAAAGCTCGATCTCGGTAGGTCGGGCTCCGCTGCCCGACTGCCGTACCCGACATATCCAAACTTGCCAGATCCATATTCTCCAAGACAGCTTAGCTTCGTGTATCGCAAGCGCTAGTGCCTGCGCCTTTACGGGCTGTTACCTGTACAACCCCTACCATTATAGGAGATTGATAAATACTGCCCCTGCTCTCTTATCGCAATGAAGATGAAAGCTACGAGAAAGTCGACGTCTACGTATATTTAAGAAGGCTTTCTCTGTGATGAAGATAGATAATCAGTTCGACGTCTACGTATATTTAAAAAGGCTTTCTCTGTGATGAAGATAGATAATCAGCGGTAGCTAGGTCTTCGTTGGGCAGAAATTTGCTGTTAAAACTGAATAATTTTAGATAAGATTCGGGTATCCCTCGGTAGAGTGGGGCCAGAAAAAAGTTGACGGTTTACTTGGAATTCCCGTTTCCTGCTTTCGAATGGTGTATAGATTCTGGGGCGAAAAACTTGGCAGTTCTTAGAAATGGGGTGGGGGATGAGATATTCACTGTTAGTTAGCTCCATCCCGCCCCTTCAATGTCTTGGCATTTATGAGTTACCGAAGCAAAGATCTTATGAAGCTGGGAAGAGAAAGTCTACAACAACTTATACACAGTGCTAGACATAATTATAAAGCCACTCTAGAAATCGTCGTAATTTTCGTTCATTGAATCTGTCTGAAGCTTTGCTGTATTGTGCGCATGTTAACCTGTCATAAAGCCTCAAAACGGCTTCCAAATTTGTTGAGTTTGAACGGAGAAAAACGAAAATTCGAAAAAGCTCTCTTTCAAAGCGGACAAAATTAGAAAGCCACCTGGTTTTTCTAATCACTATCGCACTCGTTGACTCTCAAATTTTTTTGTACAATTACATTCAAAATATGAAACATTTGCAAGAACTACAGCCTGTCATCCTACTCAAATAGAAGCGATCACTGCATTTTTGCTTTCAAAAGCACCAAAAGTCAATCTGCTTCAACAAACAACTGGTTTGAAGTGTTTTCAAGCTCTTGTTCACTTCAAATGATAATCATGGAATCTACTGACCTTTCTGGATATGAGGTGAAAAGCGCTCTCGTAAACTCGGCGTAGTCGCTGATTTTGACGGACAGACTCTAGCCTCACCATAGGGTTGGCGCCCTCTTGCACCACAAAACTCAGTTTGCAATGTCCACAAAGTGCTGAACTTGATTTATTACATTGCCTACATGGGGATGCAGCTTTTGCAACAACTTTCAGATCTTCCCTAGTGATGCGATAGCGATTTAGACCTGAAATACACTCCACGAAAATTTCCTGCGAGCAGAAGATTCGATATAATCTAGATCTCCTTATTTCCCTCTGTATTTCATGTCATTTTTCACCCGATGAATGAGATTAGCTAAGATTTCGAAGTTTCAAACGTGTCCGGTTTTATCTCGTGATCTGAGTTGACTTGATTGTGCAGGCTGCTCCACTCAACATTCAGTGGATGTCAACTGCGGCTGGACCAAAGTGCTCAATCCCGAATTTTTTTCTCAGTCATGCATACGAGTGCATTGTTGTATGGCTGTCGTAATGGCTAATTACAGTAATTTTTGTCGCTTGAAAATCGAGTTTTGTGGTGCAAAATTGAGTCAACCTTATGGTGAGGTTGGAGTTTGTCCGTCACTATCAGCGACTACGCAGAGTTTACAAAAGCGCTCCTTAACTATTTATCAAAAATGCTCAGTGGACTCCATGACTATCATTTGAAATGAACAAGAATTTGAAAACCCTTTAAAGCAGTTGTTTGTTGAAGCAGATTGACTTTTGGTGCTTTTGAAAGCAAAATATGCAGTGATCGCTTCTATTTGAGTTGGATGACAGGCCGTAGGTCTTGCAAAGGTTTCATATTTTGGAATGTAATTGTACAAAAAAATTTGAGAGTCAACGAATGCTGGTGATTAGAAAAACCAGGTGGCTTTATAATTTTGTCCAGCTTTCAGAGAGGGTTTTTTCGAATTTTTTCATTTTTCCCGTTCAAACTCACCAAGACTGGAAGCCGTTTTGAGGGGTCATGGTAGGTTGACATGCGCACAATACAGCAGTGTTTCAGATAGATTCATTGACAAAAACGAAAATTACGACGATTTCTAGAGTGGCGTTATAATTATGTCCAGCACTGTACCATTCGAAAGCTGAGACTATGGAGAATCAATGTAAACTTTTTTCTAACTTTTCGTAGCAGTAAGACATGAGGTTTTTACCTAACCGATAGGTCTACTGATTGCTTTGGTTGACAAAAAATGCGCTCAATTCTCTTTCATTTCATGAAAAAACGTTAAACTAACGTAATCATTTACTGTTCACAGTACTCACTGCATATCACACTGAGCTGTTTTTGAAATGTTTAGCAAGACTTTCTTGGTATTTATAAGCATTGGCAACCTAGGATACAGACTTACACTAGCTGGTTTTTTCCTTGCCCCTCTTACAGAAAAACTTGAACCAAACAAGCATCAACCACTGAGGTTCTCGAAAAAGGAAATCAAATGATTTCAGATTCTCAAATTCCTTTCTAGAGTGTATATTTCCACGTTGATTTTATTTTCCAAATTCATTTGACTTTTTATAATACTCTATTGTGGACGCCTCTGAGATAGTGCCAAAAAAATGTAGCTACTGTATCTTTGATTCAACTGGTTTAGCTCCGTCACGGCAGGCCGCTCACGCCCGCGACGCACCTGCGTCTCTCGCGCGCGAGTGCTC